AAAAAAAAAGAAGTTCGGTCAACGCACAACAGGCGTGCTTGTAAAATTGATTGATTGATTGAAAAGAACAGCTGAGTATAAAGAAAGCATCTGTTTAACTATATCAATGTTGTTTAGCGAAAAGAAATCGTAATTAGTCGGTCACTCACTCACGTCTGAACAGTCTGTTTATTCTATTTGCCTTGGGATTGACCGCAAAAAAAAAGTAACAAGACGGAAGTGATCGTATAACAACAGACAATATCATTGTCTTTCTATCTTTCTCAAGATCAAACTCGTTAATAAAACAAGTCAAATAGAGAGGAGGAGTAATTGACATATCGTTTGATCTTATACAAAAAAAAGAAAAAAGAAAAAACAACAATATCTAATGTTTATTATGAATGAATAATGATCAAAACTTAAAAAGAAATAGAATACTTAGATATTACAAATATACAATACACAAAGTGCAAATTTATTTCTCGAAAATTTGTTGGCATGTATATATAAACGTCTGATAGATGATAACGAGCATACGTGTTATTTGGTTGGTTAACGAAGAATACGAGTGAGATATCTATATATTAGGAGAGAAGAAAAAAAACAAGAAATGCAGTGGCAATGTCGAGTATTCAGCTAATGTATGTTGGGAACGATGATGGATGAAGAAAGAAAGATAGAGAAGAAAAAACATACAGCTACTATCATCATCGTGTCAATTTTTGTTCTATAAATTTCTCTCTCTCTCTCGTCTTCTTTCTTCCAGACGCTTAATTATACATTGCTCATCTCTTGCTATTTGGTTGGAAGATAGATTAGATCGAAGAATAGCATCTTTTTCTCTTATTTTTTTCTCCTAACAGTTGTTTATATTCGTTCTCTTACCATTAATGAACGAGAACGTTGACCGAATTTTTCTTTTCTGATGCTGTTTGAGTATTGATGGTACTACTATCTTTTTTCTCTCATTCTATTTTCCTAATATAGATCGTCCTTCTTTCTTTTTTCTTATTCTTCTTCTCTCTCTCTCTCTCTCCCTCTCTTTTCATACTTGTCTGTTAGCAATGAGAAATATAAGAATATTCTTCTGTTGATCTTTATACAAGAATTTTCTTGGTGCTATATACAATTATACAACGATGCTTTATTCATTTTTACCATCTGATAATTATTTGGCATTGAATGTAAGTTTGAATTTTTAAAACTTAATAAAGAAGAAAAAAACAAAAAGAAAGAAAAGTCAAGTTTTCGAAAGTATATTAACTTAACGATTAGATACTTTGATATAAAAATATTTAAGATTAATTTTCTTCTTCTTTTTATTTTAGCCATTGGTACCAACATTATTAGCTGCTGCAGCTGCATCATCATCTTCAAATTCAACAACAAATAACAATGGTACAACAACAACATCAACAAATGCTAATCATTCTCATGTTATTCATCCATCGTCTTATGTGACATCTTCATCTTCAACAGATTCCTCATCTAGTCAACATCATCCATATGCATACACAAATATGGTAGCAGCAGCAACAACAGCTAATAAAATTTCAAATACAACAACAAATCTTGTTGTTGATTCAATTTCACATTTACCAGAAATAATTAATGTACCATCATCTTCATCAATTATTGAAACAACGACAACGAATAGTAATACACAACAAATCTCATCTAATGAATTAATAAATAATGAAAATGTATGTTAGATGAGTTTTCTTTTTTTTTTTTTTTTGAAGAAAAATGTTTTTTTTTCTTTTGAAACTTAAAAGGCTCAATCAAATTCTTCATTATCTCATTCACCACAATTAACAAGTACAATTATACAAAATGGAACATCATCATCAACAAATGGTAATACAACATTATCAGGAACAATACAAAAACGTTTACATGTATCAAATATTCCATTTCGATTTCGAGATGATGATCTTAAAGCAATGTTTGAAGTTAGTAGAAAATAATATAAAATAAATATAAATATTATATTTATACTACTATTTTTTAGCAATTTGGTGAAATTATTGATACAGAAATTATTTTCAATGAACGAGGGTCAAAAGTATGTAATAGAATAATTATATATCAAAAATTTAATAACTAAAAATAGTATTATTTCTGATCAAATATATTCGTTGAAGGTGTATTAGAAAAAATAAAATTTTTATTGGATCATCTTTGAAATATCACCTTCCGGATACTATAGTTTGAATATTTTCTGGTTATTTAAGATTAGAATTATAATTTGTACTACTCGATTTGATAGTTACACATTATTTTTAAAGTAGAAAGTGCAAATATAAACGAATGAATTTCTCTGATTTTCACATCTTAATCTCATATAAGTAATTATTATATAAAAAAAAAAACAAAATTGATCGTTTGATCTTTGTTTATTTTTTTTTTGAAGAGATTGACGAAAGTTAAGATCACCATAGATTCTAATTCTTTTAATTTTAGGGTTTTGGTTTTGTAACATTTGCATCTAGTGATGATGCTGATGCAGCTCGTGAAAAATTACATGGTGCTGTTGTTGAAGGACGTAAAATTGAAGTATGTATATATAAAAAAAAAAATTTATCTCGAAATCTATGTTAAATAATTTTAAAAAACAATAAGAACTCTTCTTCTAGTTCTCTTTCGCATTACTTGCGAATCAATGTTAAACAGCAGAAATCGCTACAGCAATAGGAGGTAGACATAACGATAAAAGGCAACCAAATATATTTCTATCTATTTCTTACTTCAAACAACTGTTTTCGTTGCATGCCTGTTCGTGGCTGCTTGTTCGTCTCTTTCAACATTGATCCATTGTTTTTTATTTACTTATGTTTTTATATATACATATATATATACATATATATTGATTAGTCAGATAAATGAACAATAAATTTCGGGGGCATGATGAAATTCAATCACATTTTATACATTTATATACACATCAAGTGCAAGTTTAACCTTAGAATTATATTTAGATTATATACTTAGCTAAATTTGTGTCCTATATGTTGTTGTCTGTTGCCTATCAATTTTGACATTTTTTCGCTGCTCTATCCCAGTTGTTTTTTTTTTTACCTATATTCAAACAAAACGAAATATTAGATTCGTATATAAAATTTAAAAAAAAAAAACAAAATTATTAATTTTCAGCGCATGATGATATAATGTATGCATGGTTGTTCGTTATTTAGCAAATGAAATAAAGAATTAATTGATAAATAAAATGCGAACGAAATCTTGAACGAGAGATGAGATATTCGCTCGCATGTATCTCTCATTTATCACCATGCACACAATTCGTTTACTTATTTCTGATAGTTAATATGTAAATTAAATCGAAGAAAAATTCTAATTAATAACTTTTATTTATTTATTTATTTATTTGTCGTAGTAGAAAAAATGCACATCTTTTTTTTTTTTACACATTACACCTTATATTTGAATGGCTCGAACGTTCGATCTCGCGAGATTTCGTTGTTTACTCTTTGCTTTTTGTCGGTGGATGTCTGGCTCTTTTTTTTTTTCTTTACTTTGTTTCATGTTTAGTATTTAGTTATTTGTAAAATTTTATTAAATTAGGTCAATATGGCAACGGCTCGATCACAGCCAAAGCCAAAACAAATTGTAGCAAATCCATTTGGTTAGTTCGAAAATTAAAATTTTGAATTTTTTTTTGTACACAAAATCTATTGAAAATTTAGGTATAATGATGAATACACGACAACGTCCAACATTAATTCAAGCTACACGTGCAGCTACTGCATTTACAACTGGACTTGCTTTACCCGGTGGATATACGTATGTTATTGATTTTATGATGTAAAATTTTTATTTTTTTTTTATCTTTTAAGGATTTATCCTGATCAATTAGCTGCTTTAAGTGGTTTAACATCATATCCAATTGCTGCTCAACCACAACCTAGTGTTCGATATATAACAACAAGTGCACCACATGGCCTTTCTACAACAGGACAACCGACTGGTACTTATACATTTGGGTAAGAGAAAGTTCTATTACAAAAAACAAAAACTGTTAGCATAATGTGTTCTTATATAATAAATTTCATAGTAAATTTTAATTCCATATTGCTAAGAATTAGAAAGTTAAAAATTTTGAATGAAAAATCATGTAACGAATTCTTGAAAAATAAATTTAATTAAATATTTCATCATATTTCTAGTGTATTGCCAATGACTAATAGTGTAGGTGCAACAACAGGATATATAATTAATGGACCACCAACAACAAATATGACTTCAGCTACTACTCAAATTGGGTAAGTCAAAAAAGAATTCTTATTGTTTTTTTTTTGTCGTAATGTTTGATGTGTGTGTTGTGTGTCCATGTGGGTTTTTCGTATGATCATATCCTTCATTCTTAGTCCATTAAATCCCTCAGCAGCAGTTGGATCATCATTACCAGTTTATCGAACCATGTTTTCTTCTACTCCTGCTCAGTTGGTATGCTCCTTTCATACACAAATTGGACTTGATATGATGAGACAAAAAATTATCTCTTTTGTTTTTGAAATTAGTTGAGCATGATGCATGAGTTTGTTGAAATCGATTGTAATATAAAAAAAAAGAAGTTATATATATTATATGTGCATGTTTGATTGATATATCTTCTATTAGCTGTTCAGCTTCGAATGCATTTGTTTCTTTTTTTTTATTTGCTATTTATTCTTAGAAATTTTTTTTTTCTATTTCAGACATGCTTATCCGGAAACTGCATATATCACTGCAACACCAACTGGAACCATCGGCCCTATCACCGTAAGTTGATTTCATATGATTATAAGTATTAATTATTTTTTATAATTAGGGTATGCGTAATAATGTTCGTTATGCACCCTATTAATTTATTAATGCCATATCGTTGATCTTCTCTCCTGATCGTCGAACAGTAACTACGTCGATTGTTTTACAAGAAAAAATTCAAGCGAATTGTCCGTTTCTCTTTCTTTTTCTGTCTTTTTTTTTTTTGCTATATTCATTTTCATCTGATGTATATATACATGTGCTTCCCATTCTTTTGCTACTATATGCACACAGTGAAGATCAATTTTTATTTATCTGTTACTGATAATTAAAATCAACAAATAATGATGATTATCATTTTTCTTTCTTGATTGCTCAATTTGTGCAATGTTTTCTTCTTCTTCTTTTTTGTTTTATATCTATATTTGTGTGATCTTGCATTTATTTATCATCGATCAAAAAAGAAAACAACAAACCGTGTGTATGTTTTTGTGGTGCTATTGTTCCTTTTTTTTTTCATGTATTGAACAAACAATAATTAGAGCTTTTTAAAAAAAAAAACCTAACAAAGAAGAGTCATTGCCGAGTGGATGAAGATTTCTCTTATTTTGTATCCGTTTCTTTGTTCTTTTTGCTGTTGTTGTTATCATTAATATTAGTTCGCCTATAACTTGTCGCTCTTTGCCAAGATGTTGGCTGACTAAAAGTCTTCTGGTTTTTTTTGTTATCTGAACTTTTTTCCTGTGCGATCATGTTCGATTATATGAAAAACGTTTTTTTTTTACATAAATATATATATATATATATGCATATATTTCGGTTTATGTTTTATTCTTGAAGATCACGACTATTTTCTTCGTTTTCAAACAATATCAGAGGACTTTACCATAGCACATAGCTAATTTTCTAGGTTTGAATATTAACAATTACTGTTGTAACTATTTGTCCAATATCAATTAGTGTTTCACATAATAATTCAAAGTCTCTGCGTGAAACCATTACATAAGGTCTCATACCATAATTACACCTTTTAATACAAACATCAATAATAAGTCGTTTAACATCTGAATGTACATTACAATTTTTGATTAATATATTTTCAGTGGCATACATCGGTGAACCAATTGCAACTTTATACGAAGATACATGGTTTTTAGGTGTGCTTGAACCAGTATTGTTGTTTTGTGGTTCATAGACAAGTAACTTCTTGCATTGTACACATTTGACATAATTAATGGTTTTATCGTCAGTGTCTTTAATACAATTAAAATTGTGACATTAGGAAGCATTGGATTGAAGTTTTTCCAACATCGTATATTCTCCACTTTCAATGGCTTTTCGAATGTTTTCTTTTGAACTCATTTCCGAACGATAACAACAACAAAAGTATTAAAATATGAAAAAAAAAAGTATTTATTATTTATAGACAAAGAAATTTTGCGTATATTCGTGTATGATCTCGAACGCAAGTCAAACGATTTCTACTTCATTATTCTTTATATTTAACATAGAGATAAAATAGATGTTAGAAGCATGTATTATGAGAAAATAAAACTTAACAAAAATCTGATAAGTTTTTGAATTAAACTCGAATCCGGCCTGAACCCGTCCGCGAAACGGGTCGGATGTTGTATTACAGGACTCTAGTGTATTTTCTGACGGAGCTTGTCTATTTTATATTTGTTTGTAATGAGTTCTAATGTATCAGAGCCTGAACTTTTACTTAACACATATTCGTTTTGATTACATATGAAATACTTCAGTTCTGTCATTCGTTCTCTTGGCATAATAGTAGTTAGACTTGTTTTTCTTTTCTGATTGCACGAGATATCACAATTTTGTTTAATCGAATTCTTATCTCTTGGAAATGAATGACAAATCATTACTGTGTATTCATCTACAAAACCAGATCGTCAAATCCTTGGAACAAATCAAAGATAATGATTCAGTATTGTTGGAAAAAACGGCGTCGACTCTCAGACAACTTTTCAACAAAATTGCATATCAAACCAACAGGTGACATCATTAATTCGCAATGATTTTGCTTCAATTATTATTGAGTTTAACAACAGTACGACAAAAACAGAATGTAAATTAATCGAAGAACTTGATGAATTAATGGAAATAGCGACAATAAAAATACTAATACTATTGGCAGATTCAGATTTCGAAATATTCTGTTCAATATCATACGTGGTTCGCCTAAACTCGGCATTTGAATTTTTAGTGACCATTATAACAATTTTACTCGATTCATACTTACTACTCATGCAAGATTTTCAACCAATTTGGGAAAAGCTGAAACAACCGATGATCTATAGATAAAACACATATCATTTCTAAAAATAACTTTCTTTGCAGGTTGCAATGACAAACCTTTAATTGGTGTTCGAGTTGAATTTTGTTCATCAAAGTATGTCTAAGAACTACTATCTCTAGGAGAAATTGGGCTAGTGGTGTAATCAGGGCAGAATTAGAGGGACTCAACTCTACTACCGGACTTTTGAGCTCTACCACTCGCACTTTCACCTTACCGACTTTACTGTAAATGAAAACCATCCAAAACACCTTAGTTCAAATCTTGAATTATTGTAAGTTTATATGTAACTTTAGACTGAAAGTAATAGAGAGTCATTTTTGATTCTTGAAACGAATAGATATTGAAAAAGCTAATCTGTTTTTTTATGCTGTCCGTCATGACTCATATCTCGTGAGAAAAACTATGGATACTTTGAAATTTTTTTATAACTAGCGAGAGCCCGTGCATACTGCACAGCTATTTTCTTCTTTAATGTAAGACCATAGACGTTTAACTTTACATCCTGTAACAAATATACAGACACTCGATATTATGTATATAGATAGTTAGATACCCCTACGGTCTCATAGTCTTATATTACACATATTTTTATAGTCCATATAGTCTTCAATCTTATAGCCTTATATCCCTTGTAGCTCTTGTAACCTTATCTCCTATCGCCTTCCCCCTTTTTGTATTCCGCCTTATTACCTCATTTCCTTATTCCGTTACTCGCTTTTTTCCTCACTCCCTACAGGGTCTATGCGTACCCATATATAATAGCCCTTGAGGACCTAGAGTACCCCATAAAATAGCCCTTAAGGACCTATGAGTACCTCCATATGATAGCGCTTGGGGACCTAGGGTACCCCTATAGAATAGCGCTTGCGAACCTATAGGGACCTCCATATAAAATAGGCCTTGAGGCCTTTCCCTTATAGCCTTATTTGACCTTTAACCCTTGACCTTTAACCTTTGAGCCGGCACAGAGAAACACACAGACACACACACACACACACACACACTGAACATTATATATGTAGATTATTATTAGAAGGCCATTTAGACCTTATTCAAAAACTACACACTCAGCAAAAGCAAAAATTTAGTCGATGGATAAGTATATGCATTGAGAATCATAAGAGTGTCTTAAAAACCTCCATTGGAACAAGAAAAACCAAGAATTTAAAATATCAGGTCTGGAGAAAATAATTCTTGAATCCTTAAAATATTTCGAGATTTTTTTTTACGTTTAGACAAGTCGCACGACCATTCACGCTTTGGATTGATGTTCTCATATTAGGACAGATAGTGAATAGGGTGTGGGTATGGATTTGGGTGTTCGTCTTCTCTTCACCTACATCCCACACCCACACACATCCATAATTTCATAAACGATAAGTTCAGTTTGGGGATGTGGTTCGCATCAAGTTCTCACCGCGGGCTTAGTCCATGTGTCATCTGGTTAATGCGATGCGAAGCACTGCATAGCGATCGTCAGAGATTTTTTTTATTTCTCGACTTACGCATACAAAGTCCATATTTTGTGACGTGATGATCTCGAGAATGGGACATTGTCTTATACTCATTGCAACGACATTTGAGAGGTTAATATCTCCATATAAGTAAATTTTGTCCGATTTTTTGTATAATCTTTTGTTTGCGCACAGTGAAATTCGGATATGATTAATAATTTATGGATTTCTTTTTTAATACCATCGCTAATAGTAAAAACAATCTCTTAGTGGACATTTCCTGACATCTTTTTGTTAGCTAAAACAACTTCGAGATAATTAAAATAAAGACAAGAAAAAAACTTAGTTGTGACTTTCATTGTTAACGAATCAGACAGTAGATAATTAAACGATCAATCAACGGAGCTCTTTAAAAATCTGTCGATAGACATTGATAGAGTTCTCCTAGTAGTGAATCCCGTTATAAGTACTTCTCTCGTTTATTCTAACTTCGATCAGCTGATTGATCGAAACATAACTTTTGGGGATTACACGGATAACCGAAAAAGATTGAATGCTCTAAAACGTAAAAATGTTCCGGAGAAAGACGATTCATAAAAAATAATGGAAAAAGCTATGTATTTTATTATACATCGTTTTTTTTCCAAGCTCGAAATTCGTGCTTCGCACCGCACTCAAATACTATTTAGTTTACTTTTTTGACGTACGCACCAAAACTTGTCATTTTGTGACACGATGATCTAGAGAACCAAAACTCAGAAAATAGCCGTTCAAGCGCGAGATTCAAGTGTTGAGATCGAAGCGATAACCTGTCTTTTTGAGTATTACTGCAAAGGATGTTCGGTTTCCTTACAAATAGCTTCTGAAAACGTCAAAATTTTCAGGACTTTATTAATTAAACTATCAATCCAAAGCGTTCTTTAAAAATATATCGATATGCGTTTATAAAGTTTTTGTAGTGATGAATTTTATCATGGCTACTTTTCAACTCGGTTTTAACTTTCCTCAGCTGATTGATAGAAACGTAACGTTTTCGTTTGACAACAATCGATAGAAATGTTTTAGCTCAGTAGAACGTAAACAACTCGATCAGAGGAGATCTCGAATGATGCGCATGGCACTTTTGAGGGCTCAGCGTGATTGTAAGATGTGAGAATATGGATGGGGATGTGAGCGTGGATGTAGATGAATGTGTGGTGAGGCTGGTAGAGTCTGCTTTGTTTCCAACCCCCCCTCCCCCCCATTTCTCGTTCTGTGCGCAAGTTTCATCGTGCGTATCGTTCGTATACCTGTTCCATAGAATATAACAATCACATGAGTATGTTATGATGTTGTGTATGTCATTATTTATTTAAGAATTTGATTCCATTCTGTCGTCGAACTTAGCTATAAAGAAAATAAATCTGGTATTTGCGCGTGGCAAACTCTAGCTGATGTGATGTATTTATGTTTTCCATTGACGTCACGCACAAGAATAAAACGTGTTTTCATTATATCAGATATTTGCTTTCATTTTCTCTATATGAAAAGTCATGTAGATGAACATGGAATAAAACTTCTCTAGATCTCATTAGTTCTCATGGGACATCAAAAATCAAAATTGTCCAATGAACAACAACCAATAGAGAAAGAATTTACGGCATTAACATTCAGTCAAATTCAGTATATATGTCGACATACAAATTTAATTGACAACGAAGTTTGTCGACGACATGATCAATTTTTAAAAATTTCTAAAGATGGACGATTGATGAAAGAACAATTTACAAGTATTTTACAAGAAATCTGGCCTACTGGTAATGTTCATAACTTTTCTAATTATTTATTTAATTTGTGGTAAACAAACAAGTTTTATTTGAACAAAAACTAGATTGAATTATATTTGTTTTTAGTGATAAAGGTCAAAAAGGATTTCTTGAATTCACTGAATTTATTATTCTTAATTGTCAATTGAATAATGGTGAGATAATAGATATACTTTTATACAGCATTTATTTTTTATTAAAAAAGTTTTCTTTTAATGATGAAACCGTAGTCTTGAAAGTTGTTTGAATTTGAGATCATCTTTAAATGATAAATTCTTTTGTTCAACAGAAACATATTGCACTTTAGATGCTCAATTTTAAAGAAAATAGCGACAATTAAGTAATCTTTTTATCTTTATTGATTAGATGAATCGTATCTTGGCTTTTTATTCGATATGTTTGATACTCGTCACCAAGGGTTTGTTTTCATAGTTTTATCCTTCATTTTCTTTTATCATGTTACTCTTTAACTAGTTCATTGCCCCAAAAAAAAATCGAACTACTCTTCGCATCTTTGTACGAACTTATTGGACATCCGACAAATCAGAAATGTGGTGCTACCATCTCTCAGCAACAAATAACTCATTTGCTTCAAATCGTTGATGAAAGTAAGAGCAAGTGTTTATCACGTGATCAGTTTATTAACATTGGAAATACTAACTGGATAGATGAAGATAACGGCATTGGTACTTTACTCATCGAACATTCGTGCTGAATCATGATTTCGATAATGGTCATTTTTTTATTTTATCTATTACTTATTTTAAATCAAAAAGTACAACTTTTTATATTTCAAAGAATATTTCTAATAAAATGAAAACAACACTAAATTGAATCATTAAACCTTGCTCTTTTGCAAAAAATCGACAAACCAGTCTATTTATTAATGAACTTTTTTCCATTCGAAAATTGACATACAGAACTTCGAGATGCTATGCAGAGTTTGTACTCAAAAATTTTATTGTAATATTAGAAGAGCTCCAAATTCTCATAGTAAAGATCATTACTGTTTGGTCTTATGTCATTTAATCAATAATATATATTCTGTCAAAAAAATTGAGTGATTTCGCTCACGTCTACAGCATCTCGAAGCTCATTATTAGTAAAGTACCTATTAAATGAGAAATTAAATTGATATTTGTTTTCCCAACGAATAAAAATGATGGTGACGACGAGCAGCAGTGAACTGACTCTTAACTGTCCATTTTACATTTGGCTGAGTTGGCCATGAAACGACTACTTGAAGAAAAATCTGCCAAATTGAATAATTATACTTTTTTTCAAGTGTCTTAGTTTTTGATTCAATACGAGTAATTTCTTCAAACGAAATATGTAAAAGAAGTTGTCATTTTTATTCAGCCGCTCATTATTGACAATTTTGTAAAAGAATATTCTGGATAAAAAACACGAGGAAGATTTGTTTCTTATGTTATAAGCTAACTCAATAGAGTATGTTGAGAAGAAGAACCTTTCGACAACATATTGCATTATTGCAAAACATCAAATTTTCACCAAAGAGTTGTCGATAAGAAAAGTTGTAACATTTTAATTTTTCTCTGAAATTCACTGGTCATGAGCATAAGTGAACTTTACTATGTGTATCGAATGTTGGTATATCTAAAGTCACAAATAGTCAGTGTCAATGCTAACTACAAAAATCGATCGTACAAAATCCAATGATATTAGTACTCTTCATACTGCTGCATGTTTTGGTCACCTCGGCAAAGTTCATATTCTTCTCAACAAAATTGCTTTTCGTAGTCAGAAGAGTAGATAGAGTAAAACTTGTGATATGTTCAGATTTCCAAAAAAACGTAACTTACCGAAATTTTCATCTCTTCGAGAATCAGACATAAATTCAAAGCAGCTGATTATGGAAACTTTGGGAATTTCAGAAACTCGGCAAATCAAAAATATACATTCGAAAAATATAAACCAATAAGATAGCAGTTTAGAGAGAAAATGGAAAGTAGATCGTAGTGGTACTGCGTTAAATTAAAAAACTATAAAAAATCTATACAACATAAATCAGCAAAGACACACAAGTTAGGATTAAACAATCTGAAGAAAAACTACTGAAAGGGTAATATTTAGTGGCCAATCATTACGTATAGCACATGTTCATACAATGAACCATATAGACTCTACTATACAGGCATATAGTCGAATTACTTCAAGCAAACAAGTGGTACGAGTCTTTTGAGGTGTACTGAATATGGCAACGTTTGTTGACCAAATACAATCCTGCGGAGCATCTCACGTCGCTCTCTAACTATGGAGGTTGTCCGCAGGTAACGCACTCACGTTTTGTCAAGTTTCGATTTGAATTTCTCTCTAACGGTAAAGCGTAAAGCCTTGAAACTTGGTGTATATATGCATCTTGCAAAACTGTACAACCACTATAAGTTTCACCCTGATCGGCTTTATTATTCAAATTTTACAAGGAAAATACAGGACAGTAACGCACTCACAAAAAAGGCCCTTCCCTTTCTTAGTGGTATCATAAATGTTAAGATTCCTGCGAATGGTTCAGTTATTAAGAGATATGATTCATAGAAAGTTTGTAGCAGAAAATTAGGGCTATCTAATGGTAAAACAATCTTCTAAAAATATTGTGCTGCTTTAGACCTGTAGTCAAAATATTACGGTAACGCACTCACGTTCTGGTAACGCACTCACTTTTTCATATTCTAATTTTTTTTCCTGGCGGACTTGTTGTTTTCTCTCACACTTCAGACGTGTTAAAATAGCTTTCTTCGACTTTGGTAGCAAAATTATATAAGATTTCACAATAAAAAATAGGATACGAAATAGTGTCGTAGAGCTAATGTTTGTGCTTCCATAACTGTTAGTATATCACAAGTACTTTTCCGTTATCTGTTAAATCACTCTTATAATCGATACTGAATAGCATATTTCGTCCAGAAACAAGAATGTATGAATTTTATATCTATTTCTTTGACAAAATATTATTGAAAAATTGTTCTAGTTGAAATATTCATTTATTAAGTTTTTATGCCATATTTCAATCGAGTAATGGTTTCGGTTTTCGTTTCATTTTGTCATTTCTTTGCGAAAAAGGAGGAAATAGCCAGTCGAGATTTCTATGAAATATATGATGAAGGTGCAAAATGTAATTCACACGTATCCTCAGTCAACATATCAACCGATCAAATATGAATTGGTAAACTTCTAAGCTCCGATGGTAGGTCTACCTGCCAGACCCAATTTAACCTAAAGCCTGATACGTGCAGCCAAGAGAAATCATGGCTTGTTGACATCTCTATAAGATAGCAACATTAATAAATCATATTGAAAGCCATTTATTATAGAAGCAATCCATCTCATCAAACATACATATATGGAGTTTAAAACATGGAAGTGGGTCGGTAAGGTGAGTGCGTTACCATTTTTTTCGGCAGAAAAAACATGTAAGTAAAAACCAATCTAGCCCTTTGATAGTTCATGGAAAGGTAACGGAAGTTCTTAAGTATCAACTTAAATGCTTGTATGATTGTGGCGTAAACTAAACTAAAAGCCCTAATCGGTAACGCACTCACTTCAGATTTTATGGAGTTTTCAGATATTCCCTGTTTTTTTCTACTACTGATAAAGCAGCTGAAAATTATATCAGAAGAAAGTCCAAACCTCGCCATGCGTAATATATATGACGCTTCAATTTTTAGTTAAAATTCTGTTCTTTTTTCAAAAGTTTCTTCAAAAGCACGAAAACGGATAGATATTTCAAGAAGTCTACCTATGTTGTCTGTCGTGCATCTTTTCTCTCCTTTATGAGAAAAAAAAAGAAACGACTACATTTTCTGACAGAGCAAAGTGTTCTCTACAACATGATATAGTCAGCCTTGAGAAATAGATAGGTTCTACTTTAATCAGTCTGGTTGACCGTTAGCCGGACAAGCTCTATGATGTTTTCAAGCATCACTATCAGTTTGCCATAATTCAAATTTGATCACGCACATCAATGTTCTAATGTAATAAAAATGAATAACAACAAAATAAATACTTGGCAACATAATTTCTTTTACGTGTGATTACAATCAATTGCTCATTATTAAATCTAAATAAGAAAAAGAGAAAAAATAGAAGTACTTTATTTCAATTTACTAATAATTGAGCATATCTGCAAATTTAAAACTTGAATGATTAATCGAATTAAAGACTGAGAGTATGTAAAGCCTAAACAAAGAAGAAAAAAAGAGATTATATTGAACTCTACCTGCATAATTATTCAAATGAATAATTATAAATCTAAACGAAGAACAAAAACATACAGTCGTGGACAAAAATAGGTATCCTCCCTTCTGAAATGGCATTGTATTCCATCATTTTGAACTGATATTTTGTTTGCGTGTCGGCCTCATTGAACCCTGATCGCAAGCATCACCTCGCTCTCAATCGGTTGATATTTCCTGGAGATATCAGTTGCATATTATCATTACTTTATGAATGTCATATCTCGGTTATTTTTTTGACGTTTACTTTCGCACAACCCTTCAATACAAAGCTCAGCGGTGCAGCTATCCTCAGTAAAATTTTGATGGGAAATGACTTTGAAATAGCGGGGATATGAAGTTCGCATTGAAAACTTCTACAAATTAGAAAATCCTAGTTTTCAGTCTGGAATCAATAACTTGAGCTAGACTCGATCAATGCAGCTGAAAATAGAGCTATTGGAAGAGTTCATCACGACACAAATTGTCCATCAATGGACTCTCATAGTATTATGCGGCGAGCTTTGGATCCAAGCAACTAGAGTATGTTGAGCTACAACTAGCACTAAAAAAATCAAAAGTAAATTTTTAGGAGTATGCACGATATACTACTCTATTACGAAGAAGTTGACTCCAAAACCATTTTGCTGACTTCACAGAGTTTCTGCTTCATTGAATTAGTCTCGCGTAAACGTCCTCTCGATCGTTCTGACTAAAAAAGAGTATTTCCGAAAAGACGAACGCAAATTCACTAGTATTCAACAGTTGCACACACTTATAGGCACTGCTAGTGATTTATTAATTAGTACTAGTTGTAGTCCAACATACCTAGTTGCTTGAATCCAAAGCTCACCGCATAATCCGTGACTCCATTGATGGACAAGTTGTGCCATAATGAACTCTTCCGATAGCTATATCACAGCTCTGCATAAACCTACAGCTCTAAATATTTTACCACTAACTTGTGGGTTGATGATGAGTTGTTGCTAAAATTTTCACAACAAAGCTTTAAAAAGCCAATTGTATCTAGCTTATTTGTCTTACATATGCTTTGGAATCCTCTACTTGTGTTGGTTTTGAAAAGAAAAAATCATACTTTTGTTGGATACTATGAAACTTAACAATATATGCAAGCCACTTATGGATATATCGTGTAATGTCTCAATAAACTATTGAAAATCCAGAACATATTGTTGGAATGAACATCAGTAACTCGATGTTTTTTCAATACTCTATGGAGTTAATCACAATTCTAATATCATTGTCTATATTTTATTGATCTAATACATCTAATTCAGATGAACGCTAACGATGATTTTAACTTCAAATATCATATGGTCAAATTGAGTATCGATAATCAATTACATTTGATGATATGAATATTTCAATCGATTATAAAAGTCATAAAATGATTCATTTTCAGATCATTATCGAATTATAAGCAATTTTAATCAGATTTTAAAAAAACACAGTTTTTCAGCAAAAACTCTGATTAACTTGTTAATAATATAACATAATCGTGATTTTTTCCTCCGATATATTTCACTGAAAAATTCTTTCAGATACAAAGAAACACAAAGAAAATATTTTGTGTAATAACAACAGCAAGGTGCGACATCCATAGGCAATTATAATCAGATTTAGTTGCACGATGAATTTTAAAACAACTCAGCGTTGTCTACCAAATGTTGTAGTGAATATTCTGAGTACTCGTACAAGAAAAAACTACAAAAAGACACTTCCAAAAAAAATGATTTGTGAGCATGACTGTGATTCATCGGTGTGGCCTCTAGTAGTGACTCGAGACAAAACCATGTTTGCTTCGCTATCTAACATTAAAGGAAAGAACGAAACCAAACAATATGTTTTTGTGAATTAACATTTGGTTGAGAGAAGCAAACAAACATTAAGAATGTATATTCACTGGTTACAATGGAAAGGAATAAACGAATTGAAAAACCTTGTTAATCAGATTCATAAAGCCTTGTCGATTGGTAGTGGAATATGTATAGTGAAAAATGTTCCTATCGACGATGACAATGCATCCTATCTCTCGATTGCTAAGGCTTTTGGTGGTGAATTTCATCGTGATTTACGTATGCCATCTCGTGCCATGGAAGCAGATTCAGTGATCTATCGTGTTGAAGAAGATCCTTTGAATACTAATGAATATGCTTATTCAGCAACGAATGCCCATTTTCCACTCCATACTGACTGTGCACACTTTCTTTATCCGGCTCAAGTGATGATGTTACTCTGTTGCCAACCATCGATAAATGATGGTGATGGAAAATCTATATTGACTAATGTAGATGATGTTTTAAAAATGCTAACTGAACAACAAATATCCGATCTTGCGACGAGTCAGTTTCCCTGGTGGCAAGGAGCTAATCAGCAAGTACGAGCACCTATTTTGACCAAGACTGCTGAAGGCCACTGGTGGATTCGTTTCAATCAAGCTACATTGAGGCGAGAAATGGGTGAAGATGAATTTGCGAAAGCATCTGCTCTTCAATCTCTCATCCATGTATTGAACAAAATCGAAGTCAATCCAAGTCATTCGATTAGTTTAGCTTCTGGTGACTTGCTAATTGTACATAATCAACGCGTACTTCATGGTCGAACAGCATTTACATCGAAAAGTTCACGACTTCTCAAAAGAATTCGAGTGCGCGTTCCAGATTTGTGAGAAAATTGTTTCTTGAACATTGTCTGTCTTTCTATACAGAATGTGATATTATCTATCTATGAACTTCTCCCTTTCTTCATTTTTCTGTTTGTCGATAAAATTTTTAAAATCAAAAGACGGTTGTAGCGAGTTAGCTGCGCTGTTGGTTGTACATGAAATTATATTTTTTCATGCGTAAAAAACATTTTGATATTAAATTGCATAAACAAGAAATTGGATCTTAAATGAAACCTCCATCAAAAAGTGGACTGATCATTACTAAACAATGAAAGGAGTGAAGATTTTCTCGTGTTGAACTCTCGAAGTTTCTAGAATTTTATACAACTCAATCATGATGAAGTATCATTAGTGACTCCAAAGCAAGAAAAAAAAAGAAATCTTGTCAAATAGATTGAAAAGTGCATCATTTCAGTGATTCTGAGACATGACTCCAATGCAGAAGATACGGTTGTCCTTTTCCATTCTGTTGTCTCTTTACCTCTTTCGTTTTTGGGACATAAATGACAACACATCACCATAACAATAGAAACAATGGATTAATAATAATTTCTATTTATTGTAGGTCACTTTATCGTTCTGCGCTTACTTTTTGTTTCTATTCTGTTCACATAGTATTTACGGCACAGGAAAACTTGTCTATCTGATTTTATTGGAAGCTAATGATTCGAGAGCGATTCGTAAATACGATTTTCTCATGCTTATTCTGTAAGCAAGTTCTAGAAAAAAAAACCTATGAAAACCGTTTTGCTGGTTATACAGAAAAATGACTAGCGAATAGTTCACCGGAGAAACATTCTAATATTTTGGTGAAAGAAATTATAGCAAAGCAAAAAAAAACTAGGTCATTTTCCAAGAACGAGCAATAATTGCGGTCATAGAGGAGAATTTAAGTCTTTTCATATTATTCCGAAATCAGTAAAAACAAAATCAAATATTTGTTATCAGTTATACTTTTTCAATTGAGTAAAACATCAAACCAAAGAGGGCTTTCTACATCTTACATTATCTGAAAACTCAAAATAAAGAATCCCAAACTTGGATCCCGTCGAATCTTATAGGCAGATGAAAGAATCCAATAACTTCCCGGTAGAATTTTATCGGAAGCCATTTGATTTTTTGGTATAGGATTCTGATAGGAAGTTGTTGGATATCGGATCCGACACTTAGAAAACACCAAATAGGGTGTGAGTGGATTTTGGAGATGATCCGAAGAATTCTCACACCCACATCCTTAACCGATACATAAAGTTAATTTTTAAAAAGTGTCTTTCAAAGGAGAAAACGAAATCTACTAAATATGATTGCTGGTATTTATAATATAAATACATTCATATTAGAGTAAGGATATACTCTTTCGAAGTAGATGCATAAAGGTGTTTTGTTTTAATTAACTTGCCTTTTGTTATTCTATAATCAAAGCTGTTGAATTCGATTATGGGAACAAAAAAGTTATATAGTAACCGTCGAATATCTCATAATTAATCGTACCTTCTAAATTTGCAAAAAAAGAATATGCGTATTATACCAAATGCCGAAAAAAAATTGATTAATTGAACTCAACATATTTTTATGATATTCTATTTTTTTTTTTAATATATTCATTTATTGAAAAAATATTCTGCATTAAGAATAATATTTATGCAATAATCTAGAGCAGATCAAAATAGTTTTTTAAAAAATCGTATATTTCCATTTGATGTTAAAGTTAAAGAAAAAAAAAGAAACTACAAATAGATGAAGAATTGAAAGTATCATATAGTTGATAAGTTCCAACACAATAATAAAATCTGAAAATATTTATAGAATATCATTGACAGCTTCTGAGCGAATATTTCTATGTAAGTACAAATAATGTACGCAAAAAACAAAATCTAAGCTGTATTATATTTAACAATCACATATTTGAATGATTTGTTATTCTTTAGTAAAATGTTTAGTTTGTGCATCAACATTGTTGCTTTTTTTTGAGCTCTTATGGAACTAAAAAAATCTTTAAAAAAGAAAACATAAATGTTTCTCCGTTGACTTCTTATGTTACTTGCAATCATGAAAAATATCGATCGATGAGACAAGTAAGAAGAGAAAAAAATAATAAAATATTTTTCTTATTTTATATAACCTCAACAAGTGACAGTGAAAATTTAACTAACAGAAAATGATCAGCAATCGACCAATTCAAGTTGAATATATTCAAGAACCGACACCAGTAAGAAAAAAATCATACACATCATCACGTTATATCATTGTGCCTAACAATCAAATCGCACCTCAACCTCTGTTTACATGTATTGATGAAATTTATGCATATGATCCTGCACAAAAATCATCATTGCAACAAAACAATCAGACATCTACTTCCTCAAAAACGAAACCTAAAGAAACCAAAACAAAAAAATGGAAAAAATGGACAATAATTATTATTATAATTATTATTATTGTCTGTATCATAATAATAACTGTTTTATTAGCCGTTCTTCTTACTGTTAACAAGTAGAATTAATGAACAATAATCATTTTACATTTAAATAAAATAAATATAAAGTAAAGACATGTTTGTATAATGCCTGTACAATAGCAAAATATTTAATTTAACATAGATTTGATGTTCGAAAGTTTAAATAAACTGTAACAAAATCTGTTCTTTATGTTACGATAATCTAGAGGACGATGAGTTGCTTAAAAGTGATGACCTAATTTCATAATCGAATCTATAACATTCATTTTCCAATCTTCAACAGGACGCTGATATTTGATAAAGAATTATATAGTTAATTAAGCGATAAATCCATAGTATCCTCTGAAAACATGTTGATAGAGTTTTCGTAGTAATGAATTTTGCCATGTCTACTTTATCATTCCTACTATAATTCCATCATTAGAGTAATTGAAACATAGATAATTTGAGTTTTCAATAAGAGTGACACAAAGGATATTTGTTGCTGTGAACTGTAAATAACTCTAGCGGTTAGTCGTCGTGTAATTAATTGTAGAAACGATTATTCACTTTTTATGAGATATCAATTTTCCCGATGACCAACATTCGTAACTTCGTACTGCATTTCGCAGTAGAATGAAACTTGAATTTCATCGAGTTTCAATTTCTCTCTTACAAGAGTCATGATGTGAAATATATCCTATATCTGATGTTTCATAACAAACATTAACTGCCACAGAAAAAATCGATAAGCAACATTTTGCAATTAAAACTTTATTTTTTTTTAAATAATATTTTTTAATTATTTTATCAAAATATCTCCAATTAGTTAGAATTTATGTAAATAGAAATAAAAACGAAATACTTATATCCATTAGATGTTCTTCTCCATGGGAAATAATATCTATTCTTTTTTACAATGGTTTTTCTCAGAGGCATTTTCCCTGTAAGGAAATATGCAAGTAAATAAAACTGTGCCGTTATATCACAAATAGAATCAGGCATGAAAAAAACATCATAGATAATTTTACACAAAAAGATGTCACAATAAACTTGCCAAATATAACATGATTCCCATGTGCAATTATATAGGAAATATAGTCAGAGCAATTGTATCTATTTCAATTATTGTTCGATAATTAAAAGATTTTTTTTATGATATTAAATTAAAAATTTTATTGATAAAAAAAACCATATTCATTTTTTTGTTTAATTACTAAAACCCCAAAAAGCACTTGGTAAGTCATATACATCTCGTGCTCTCTTAACAAATGATGTAAATGATGAAACACAATTTCCAATAAAATAATTTGCATGAGTTAACATTGCAACATCAATAACAGGTAACCATGGATCAAGATGTTTTACATGTACATGTTGTGCTGCTAAATGTTCTTCAATTTCTTTAATCATTGGTCGTTTATCTGTTGCAACATAAATATTATGTATACGTGTACGAAGAATAATATTTTTTAATAAACGAAGTATTTCATCATCCGATGGATAACATATTTTATGAGTAACATATGTATGTGTAGATGATGACAAATCAAGACATTGAGGTGAAGCCATGTATGAACGAGTTTTAAAGGATTCAACATCAGCACATGATCTTTCCCAATCAATATTATTTCGTAAATGAATTCCTATATAGAAAATTAAATATTTTATTTGAAAGTGGGCTTTTTTTTCTTCTTGTCTAACATACCGATATAAGGTTTATTATTGAATAATTGTTTTTGATGTTGTCTAACTTCATTCATAATTTGTTCTGACCAATTCATATATTTTTGTAATTGACGATATTGAGCTAACATTGGAAATGAAGCTGGAGCTCCTTTTAATGCTAAAACAGGATAATGATCTGCTGGAAATAATTGTTGCCATTGATGTATTGAATATTCATCATAATTAAGTTGATATGTAATTGTATCAACAAAACTCACATTTAATTCATTCCAAAATGATTCGAATGGATTTCCTTCTTTCATTTGACATTCTGATTTAGGTCTATCAACTGGTAACCAACAAAAGCCAATACGAGATTCTGGCGGCCAAATCTGAGATGCAAGATTTTCCATAAAATCTTGAGCATCAATTACACGATGATAAGAACGAAGAGATTCAATTTGAAACCATTCAGAATATGGAATATTTTTAAAAGTACGCCACTAAAAAATAAATACTTTTTTTTCTCATGTCAATGAAAAATTTTGAAATTAAATATTTTCGGAATGAATTCAAACGCAAACTTTTTTATTCTTCTTACTATTCGTTTTCAACTCAAAAAATTGAATATACAATAAAAAGACAATTTTTCTGTTTTCTTTTTTCTCGAACAAACTCAGAACTCATTTTTATCACATTATTAAAAAAAAGTGTTACATACTAAAGTGTAAAAATATATTCATACATACAGGTGGAACAATTAATGTTCGATTAATTAATTTAGCAAATGCTAATCCACCAAGAAAATGTTCGGCTTGATTACCAAATCGACCCATACATAAACAAAAAATAATATAACCATTTGGATCAATATCTTGTAATTCTTGTTCAGTTTTTACTTGAATTACAAAACTTAATGAAATAATAATAATACCGAATAGATAGAAATTCATCTAAATGACACGATATAAAATAAACGAGAATGTATAAATGAACGAAAAAACGATTAAAGAGAATTTTTTCTCCCTTTGATCTTAGAGAATTTAAACAATATCGCGAGTAAACAAGTAAGACCATCCCATTTCACATACATTTGTCAATATACTTTCTCAGCTTTTATATCGTTCGATTATTTGCAAAAGTAGCATAAAAAAGAAAAAAGAACGATTAATTCACAATTGACACGTATTTAATCTCAATGTATACAATACATAAATGACACTTTAATTGAAAGATATAATTTCTATACTAATATATAGTGACATCTTTTTTCTTATTTTTGAATAAAGAAAATTAAAATATAAAATTTAAGAAAGATTTATAGAGGTTGTTGCTAGCAACGATAATGAAATTATGTTTAAATGGTTGACAACATTAAACACAATTTGTTTGTCAATACATATTGAATACTCTTAAGGAATTTTATTACAATTATTTTAACATGCTTCGATAAGACCTGCCTTTAATTATTTGAACAAGTATACATTGGTAAAATTATTTTTTGTATGATCAAATTAATTTTGATTCATATGTTAAATTTTTAGTTTAATACAAAAAGAAAATGTCTTTTAAATGAAAATACATAGTATATTATGTTTTTTTATTCTGTAGATTTCATATATTATGTCGGACGGTCGTCAGACACCTGATGATAATGGTCATGATCAGGGCCCACCAGGCTCTGCAATGCCTTCTACTGAACCTGATAGTTCAAAGAAACCATCAGCTATGCTTAAAACTGCTTTTGATGATGGAGCACTTAAAGTAATGGAAGATGAATTTCAGGTATATATATATCTATAATACATTCATTGAAAAATAATTGAAGACTTAAAATTTTATTTTTCTAGAGTGTACTTAATGAACTTGTTGGTGGTGATCGAAGTTTAGATAAATTTCGTAATGAATATGAAAAACTTCATAAAGCATTATTGAAATCACATGATAGTGAAAAACGTTTAATGCAAAAATGTCGAGAATTAAATGCTGAATTAGTTACAAATTCTGCTAAAGTTCAATCGGCTATGAAATTAAGTGAAGAAGATAAAAATGCTATTGCTTCATTACGAAAAGAAATTGAAAAAGCATGGAAAATGGTTGATGCTGCACATGAAAAAGAACAACGAGCAAAAGAAACTATACAAAGTTTAAGAATTGAAATTAATAATTTAAGTAAATTAGTCGAACAAGGAGCAGGTATGAAAAAAAGAATTCTTATTTAATTAATACAAAATGATTTATTCTGAATTCAAGAGAAGAACAATTCGATATTCATCATTTTTGTTTATTTTACGAGGATAAAATACATAGAATAGAATGTTTACAATTTTGATTATAAAATATGTCACTAACTCAATGAATCGTTTTATCGAAAGATGAGATTTCTTTAAAAAAAAAAATTTCTATTGACTTTAACCTATATTCTCTCTTAATATACAATACGACAAAATAGATTTCTATGAGCTAAACGTTTACTGCACTTCTACTCTTCTATATAACTCTAAAAGAAACCGTGTATCTTATCAGTTGTCTCTGTCAAACAAAAGATAAACATCTTCTTTTATTCGAAACTACTAGAAAATCAAATTTTTCTTTAAATAAAAAATTATCATATAATCGATAAAACTTTTTTTTAAAAGGAATTAATATGGGTCAAGAACAAGATGTAAATGATTTAATGAAAGCTCGTGATGAATTAACTCAAGAACGAGATAAATTATTAAATGATATAACACAATTACGTCGTGAGCTTGACGACAATTCATTTAAACAAAATGAATTAGAAAAACAGAATCATGAAGCAAATGATCAAATTCTTTCGTTACAAGAAAAAATTACTCAAGCAAAAACTGAAAATATGAAAGAAGCAAAAAAACGAGTTGGTTTTCTGTATTTTACGATCGTGGACAAAAGTCTTCTCCCCTATCATATCTCAGGTACTATAGGTACCGAAGAGCTAAACTTTGTGTGCACATAATCTACCAAGAATTTAGATTAGAGCTATCAGCTTGCCTCGATTGCTTAACGACAACGGGAAGTATAATGGACAACTTTTATTTTTCCTTTTCTGAAAAGAAATCCGGTCCGCTCATTATTTATGACTATGTTCCAGCTATCCATGCTATTAATTTCATCGAAGTCCATAATTTCTTATTAGAATCGTGGCTATTTTTGTTGTGACTATTCGAGGAGTGAAAAACTTCCTCATGCAGAGATGGGACCAGGCTGAATTTTTAGCGATCGGTATCGGACCGATCGGCAGCCGGTTCTGGTTCCATCTCTGCTCTACTGCCTTTTTTACGGAAGCTTTGTCCGTAGTTGAACATTATTATCTACAAGTTTCAGAAACGGACCTTCTTCTAAAGAAGAAAAAAAGGCATGCCAATAATCATTATGTCGGCATTGAGAGCTTAGAGACATGTAAAGACAGCAATCTTGCAACAAATTACATGACCCTTTGAGTGACGAAAGACCGTATACTGGGTTTCTATTGTAAAAATAAAAATATCAAGAATTAGCCATGTATTTAACAAAAGGTAATGCAAAATTTAATAGACAACTTTTTCAGGTTGAAAAGTTTGAAGCAAACTTATTGCATTTAAGTTATAGGTACGGTCTCAGACCTCTGATCTACATGGAGGATTTGCACATAAATATTCAGACTTCCTGCATTTATGAAAACTGAGATCTGCTCGAAGAAGGAGAACTTTTGTCCACAATTATATTAATTATTATTTTACTAACAAATTGATCTTTCTTAGGAACAAATTGAACTTGAACTTAAAACAAGTAAACAAAATTTAGAATTAAAAAATGCTGAATTTAAAGCTCAAACAGTACAATTTGAAAGTCAACAACAAGAATTAAAAAAAGCTCAACAACAATTAAGACAATTAAAAGAAGATAACATTCGTTTAACAAAAGAAAATCAAATTCTTCAAGTACGTCTTGATAATTCTCGTACACAATTTACTGAACTTGTTACAACAAATGAAAAACTTGCTAATGATTGTGCACGTCGTGTAACTGAACTTAAAGAAAAAGAAGATGAACTTATACAATTACGTAAAGAACGTGATAATGAACAAAAGAAAAAAGATCATGTTGAAAAACGTTTACGACAAGTTGAAGATCAAATTGGTGAAGTTGAACAACAACGTGAACGTTTACGTTCAACAATATCATCATTAGAACAAGAAATTGATCGATTTAAAAAAACTCAAGAGGAAAATCGAAGACAAATTGATACATTAACACGTGAACGTGAACAATTAAATAAAACATGTCAAAAATTAATTGGTGATAATCAAAAACAAACAGATCAAGTTAAAAGTTTTGATCAATCAAAAAAAACTTTAGAACAAGATATTACAAATTATAAAGAAGAAGCAAGTAAACAACGAAAAATTATTTTGAAAATGGAAAAAGAACGAGATCGGTAAATCATTGTTTTTCTATTCTGAGAAACTCTAAGTTTTTTTTTTTTTAAATTATTATTGAAAAGTAAAGTTGAGTGTAGCATGGACAATCACATATAAACCCAATGAAAAATATAATTTCAATAAGATATAAACCAATCTCTCGCTTAAGACATGAGTTCAATTACTTATGACATATGTATTTATTCTGCTTTTATTAAGCAAAGCATTTATTATCTATAAACCTAATTCTCTTTAGTTTTTTTCCTATAATTTTCCAATTGTGATAAAATTAAAATATTTTGTTTTTTTTTTCAATTAGTTATATAACTGAAGCTGGTCAATTAACAAATCAAGTACTTGCATTAATGGAAGAAGTAAAGAAAAAAGAACTTGAATTATTTGATCAAAAGAAAAAAATTGCTGAATTAGAAACTCGTTTAAAACAACAACAAAATTTATATGAAGCTGTTCGATCCGATCGTAATCTTTATTCAAAAAATTTAATTGAATCTAAAGATGAAATTGATGAAATGAAACGTAAATTAAAAATAATGAATCATCAAATTGATCAATTAAAAGAAGAAATTCAAGGTAAAGAACAAGAATTAGTACGTGCACAAAGTGAACATGAAAAAGTTAAAAAAGATAAAGAACAATTAATGTTAAATGTTGAACAATTAAAAAAAGAAGCAATTAAAAGAGAAGAAGCTTATGCAAATCAACAATCAGAATTTGAACGTTTAAATAAACAATTATCTGAAGCAAATGATGAACGTAAAAAACAAATGAAACAATTACAACAAGTAAATAAATCAATAAAAATTTTTATATTTTATCAATATTTATTTTTCTTAGGTTATTGCTGAACGTGATGTTCTTGGTACACAACTTGTTCGTCGTAATGATGAACTTGCACTTCTATATGAAAAACTTAAAATTCAACAATCAACATTAAATAAAGGCGAACTTCAATATAAAGCTCGTCTAGAAGATTTACGTATATTAAAATTAGAATTAAAAAAATTACGTCATGAAAAAGGTACTTTACAAGATAAAGTATCAAATACAGATGATCTTAAACGTGAAGTATTCCATGTTCAACGTGAATTATTACGTGAACGTACACGTTGTCGTGCATTAGAAGAAGAATTAGAAAATCCAATGAATATACATCGTTGGCGTAAATTAGAAGGTAGTGATCCATCAACATTCGAATTAATACAAAAAATTCAATTACTTCAAAAACGTTTAATACAAAAAACTGAAGAAGTTGTACAAAAAGAATTATTAATACAAGAAAAAGAAAAATTATATGCTGAACTCAAACGTATTTTAGGTAAAATATTAATAGCTTATATTATCCATGAATTGCCTTAAAAAACTCAGATAGAGGCGTTGTATGCCTAAGAAACATTAATGATCGCCCGGAATAACAGCCCGTCGGGTCCGAGTCTGAAAATTTTCCGTTAGACGGACTCTAGCAATCTGAGAAATGTGTGAGATGCGTTAGTCACTGAATACAAAAAAACCGAGAAAATGTATCTCGCATTTTCAGGCTGACTATTCGATTAGAAAATTCCACTGACAATATCAACATACGATTCGATCGGGTGCAGATCGAAAAATCTTATAGCCGATAGGCTCTACTTGAAATTGATGAAGAACGAAAAAGAATATCACTTGTGTTGAGAGACAGACTTGTGTTCAAAAAAACAAAATTTCAACCTATTAGAAGCGATACAATCATCATAAATTTAGTTGTTCGTTTGGTATCCAAGAATATTACCTTTCGCATGATGAGTGTGATTAACAACTTCAGTGAGATTGATCGACTTTTATAAATTTATAGAAAAGTATTTAAGTATTGTAATCTTTTAATTTTTATTCTTGTTATTTATAAATCAAATTCTATGAACTACATTTATTTTAATGAAGCTTAGGTTTCAAGAATGAGAACTCAATCGAATGATCTTATCTTTGTCTCTTCATAGTCTGTAACATATGATAATTGACATCTTTTCTATATCATAAAACAACATACTGAAAAACTTCTCGTTTACAACAAAAACACAAATATTATATTTGACATATGAATTCTACAGAGATTTTATTCATTGATTTTTTTTTCAGCTCGACAACCAGGTCCAGAAGTTGCTGAACAATTATCGATTTATCAAGAAACACTTAAAGCTAAAACAAAACAATTAAAAGCATTGGCTAGTGAAGTTAATGCGTATGAAAGTCAAATAGATGAATATAGATATGAAATTGATAAACTTAATCGACAATTAACTGAAGTACGACAGAAATATTTTCTACAAAAGAAAAAAGAAGCAATAACAAAAGAAAAAGAACGTCTTACACAAGCACAACAACAACTTTCAACAACGATCAATGGAATTACATTACAACAACCACCAGCTGATCTTATTCAACCGAATCGACCAAGGTAAGTTTTTTGCCAAATGTTTTTTTTTTTCCGTGATTCAATAGAAGATTTAATATTATTTTAGTGATCAAGCTCGTTTCACTGGCGGTGGCTTCAACCTGAAATCAACACCAAAGCCTTCTGCTGTTACAGCGTAATTTTTGTATTAATCTTTTAAAATTGAATAAAAAAGCCTTATTTTCATTCATTGCTTCTCATTTACGAACATAGATTACAGTTCGAAATTATTTAAAAATAAGTGAGATTTGAAGAAACATGAAAATATTTTTTTTAAATTTTTTTCATTAATTTACGTTTCATAATAAATTAAATGTCAACATTTTTGGATAATTTTTTATTTTCTTAAATTAATGTCTATTTCAGAGTTATGTGGCTATGGATATTTTTTTGAATAACTTTAAAAAAAGAAAAGAGAGAAATAAATTCAATCCTTAGCATTTTCTAAAGTCGGCGTTGCTCTATTCTTCTTTTTTTACAAAATCGACGTAACAATCTAGTTGTTGCTTGGCTTCTTAGATGCATTATAAGTTATAAAGATGATCGCAATCCGCTTTGAAAACAATATACTTTTCCAACTATAATATAATGGATAGATATCCTATAATTTCTGCTTTATCGATCAACACAAGGCCGAAATCGATAGGTATTTTTATTTAAGAAATAAAAAGACTTCACTAAAAGATATTCATCAAAACTTTTCAAAATCTGAGCAGCTTTAGTTACCTTGTGCTTCTTGACATGACTCATTACCATTGCAGTTTATTTTTCTATCAAAAGCATCATCAAACTATATATGTTGAATTTATTCTTATGATATTAAAGCAATATTTTTATTTGATTCAATTAATAGTCTGTAGCGCGATAATGAGTACAGGAACAATTCCGGATAGTACGATTCTATCGTACAACTGCAGCAGCTCACTGTAAGTAGTTCAATAGCTCTTTTCAAGCACTTCAAAATGTTATGAAAACATCAAGAAAAACACATTAACTATACAAAGAAGCCCTTAGGACACTGTTCTGGAGATAAGGTTTTTCGACTTTTCTTACTGGTATTCAATAGACTGCAATATGAAAATTGCGCTTTGAATGAAAACTAATATCATATTCTGAATCAGCATTCCAAACTGAGTGAACTGACATCCATTTCAAATATTTTTGTAAATTTTTTTTGTCGAGAAACTCACTCGTAGTCATCCTCAGAGTTACACTCCAAATAGCAGATGAATAGACAGTAAAACAGAGTCTTCAGGAAATTATGCTGATTCAGTTATCGAGATCTACTGAATAGTAGTAAGAAAAGCTTCAAAGTCTTGTTTCGAGAATAGTGTCCTAAGGATTTTTGTGTGGCCAATGGTTTTTTCTCGATATTTTTATTCTATTTTGAAGGGCTTGAAAAGTACCATTGAATCATATGAAAATAGTCTGATTGCTCATGAGATGGGTAGATAAATGTTATTGATTGTCATCAACGGTCGGACTCTATGCACATGTGACTGTTATGGCTTATTTCAATCGGTCTTTACACGGCGCAAACAAGTGCTATAGGACTAATTTGACTAGGAATCATTTTCGAACACCTTCTATTGTAATTAGTTTATCGTAGAAAAAATCAAGTTTCCCAAGGAGGGGCAATTTCATCATTTAATTATGAACCCTAATGGGGGGGGGGGGGGGGGGGTGCTTTTGTAGTTTCAAGGATCCTGGCACTGTGTGCGGTACTGGATCGGTGTTTCTTGGCGATCCAGAAGCCGTTGTGTCTCATTCTCGAGCTAATCACTCGTTTGTGAGACTAGAAATATTATCCAACTACGGAAAAAGATCAAACAGCGATGGTCAATACGATAAAAATAACATGATTTGGATCATGGAATAGCAGATCGTGTTACCGCATCACTAAACGTGAACTAAGTGTTCGACAGTTATAACGATATCAAATCGAGGTTGCAGCACTATTGCTCATTCAGAAAAAAAGGCCAGTAGGTATTTCTTGAATAACTTTCGATAGGCACAAGATAGAAAGCTACGGTTTTCACCATTGGAAAGCAGCTTATCTAGCGCATCGATTCATGTAAAATTGTTGAGATTTATTTCATAATTTAGTAGTGATCCATGGTCATCTTGAAAGAGTTGACTATGGCTCTATGAAGATAGAATAAATCTTAAACTTTAAGGAGTGGACTAGGATCGCCGCCTGACGGGCTACAAATCTATGAAAAGTCAAAATTTTGATCTTGATTTATTGAAAAGTTATAAGCATGATCTTGACTGCATTTTTAACCAGTTTTTTGTCAATTTTATCGAATTTTTGTCTAAAAAACGAAACCTAAAATTTGTCGCTTGCCATTCAAGGTAAAATTGACAAAAAACTGGTTAAAAATGCAGTCAATATCATGCTTATAACTTTTCAATAAATCAAGATAAAAATTTTGACCTTTCTTAGATTTGTAGCCCGTCAGGTGGCAATTCTATTCCGCTCCTTAAAGTTTAAGATTCATTCTATCTTCATAGAGCAACAATCAACTCTTCCAAGATGACTATGGATCATTACTGAATTATGAAATTGATATTTAGATATCAACAAGATTCAACAAAAGCAGCATCTTCGAACAATACGATGATCTGCCTGAAAATAATTTTATTATATTTTTAGGTGAACTATTTATATATACACACATACGAAAAAAAGAATAAAATAAATAGAAGTTATTTTTTTGAATATTGTTGATAAAATACTTCTGCAAGTCTAGTATATCCATTTGCAGATGGATGAAATCCATCAAAAGAAATATATTCTGGATGTACAGCTAATTCTTTCCAATATGCAAATAAATCAACAAGTTCACATTGATATTTTTTTACTATTTCATCAATAACATCATTCCATTGTTTAACTAGGATACTAAGATATTGTTGTGGTATTCCGAATGCTTTATAAATATTGATTTGTGATAGATCTGGTATATTTCCAACAAGTATTCGCGTATTTTTATCAGATTTTGTTCGTAATTGAGATAACATTTGATTTAAATTTGATTTATAATTTAATAATATTGATGGATTAAATATTTGTTGATTAAAATCATTGACAACTAACCAAATTGTTATAACATTTGGTTTTTGATCAAGTACTTTTGGTAATTGTTCACGTATAGCATCAGATAGAGTTGATCCACTTCGTCCAAGATTTAATGTTTCTTGTGCATTGATTAATGAAGCAAATTTTGGTACCCAACCATCTTTAGATGGTTGTGATGTTCCTACACCAACAGTATCAGATGCACCGAGAGCAATATATTTTAGTATATTACTAGTTGAATTAGTAGTATTTGAAAGTTGTACACACTTCATTGGATCTAATAGTAATAAGAATAATATAGATAATGTAATTGATAATACTAACATTATTAACAAAAAAAAAAAGGAACACACAACTCACTTTGAAAAAATAATACAAGCAAGTAAAATATAAATGGCAGTGTACTGTCTCGTGTACTTCCTTTATACCATCATAGACGTTATGTAGTACGTTCTCCATCTTTCTTTCTTTTATTTTTTCTTTTGCACTGAACGCCCTATTATGACTCATTCATTTCTCTTTTTTTTCTTTCTTCCTGTAATACAGAAAAATCAAGACTATTACACGCAAGTCGCCCTCAGGAAACATTTCCATGAGCGATCAGATGGTAATAAAAACAAATTTTTATTGTATTTTCAATACTAAATCCAAAGATATACTCTATAGTATAGAGAGCATCCGCTTAGAAATAATTTTTTACAATTATTCATGTGAAATTAATGTAATTATCATATATTTATATTATAATAGAAAAACTAAATCATAAAAAAAAAAAGAAACATGGGATAATAAAGAATAAATATCTTTTTAATAAATTATATTAAACTTCTAAAATAAAATTTGTTCTCAATTTTGCTACTTCTTTAAGTTTTTCTGCAGCATCTTTAGACAAACTACAATCATTCAGCCAAACTGCATACAATGAGTGATTATTTTTAAGCATTTCAATAAGTTCATTAACACATCCATCAGTTATTAATTTGTTAGAAGAAAGATGTAACCATTGAAGAGTTTCATTATAACAAGTGATTGCACTAGTCAATAGTCGTACACCACGATCACCAATTCGATTAGAACCTAATCCTAATAGTGTAATTGTTTTATTTATTTTGAGCATCTGTGCTAAATATTCAGCACCCTCATCTGTAATATTATTCGAATGAAGTTCTAACAAGTCAAGTGTGTAATTATTAATACTAAGTACTTGTGCTAGAGCATGTGCACCAATATCAGAAATGCGATTATTAGAAAGTTGTAATTCCATTAGAGTTGTATTGCCATATAATCCATCAGCTAAATTTGTAGCACCTTTGGCCGAAATACTATTATATTCTAATTGAAGTTTGCAACATCGTTTATCAATAATTCCTTTTTTACATATAAATTCCATATCTCGATCGTTTAATTGTTGTCCATTTAAAGTAATTTCTGAATCAGATGGAAATGATTCAATTAGTTCTTCAACTCTTGCATCGTGAAGTGTGGCCGTTGCTAAATGAAAAATTAAATAATTTTTATTATAAATATATTCAAAGAACATTTCTAATCATTACTTTATTGAGAAGCCAGTCACTTCTCTTTACTATATACAGATGTATTTACCTACTAGTTATGTGTATTTGAAGTAAACAAGTATCATTCCTTTGTTTACTTAGATGAAGCCATAAAATAATAGGACTACATAGTACTGAAGAAGAATACTCTGCCTTTCAACTACCTTGAGCCATGGAGTACTGCTCGAAAACAGTTTCGTTAATTTGATATCTTTCTTAGAACTAGTGCTAGCTGTATCTCTAAGCAGAAGGTCGACCTGATTCAAAGTTCTTTCACTCAGTCACTTGAGCTCACCGCACACTCTGACTAATCATATATTAGCCAAGAGGATCGATGTATGTCACAATATAGTTGGCATGCTATCGTACAGTTAATCTGAGAGAAACAGTCATTAATGATTTGACTAGGATCATTTCATGGCTGACGGCGCCGAGATTCGAACCAGAGCTGCAGGATTTTTCGAAATAGCAGAAAAAATTTTGAAGCGTTACATTTTTTTTGAAAGTACGATATTTTTATAAGTTTGATTATAACTTCGAAATTAACTCTTTCTAGCAACTAATATACTTTTATTATGCCACTTTGATTATTATATAGTACAGAGTTTTGACGCTACTAACAGTATAGTCGCTCACAATATGAACTGACTTTGAAATTTAAGAAGGAATTTTGTCACATGATAATTCTAACGTGTTAAACTGAATTAGATTCACTCGTGGCTCACAAATTTGAGAATCCAAATACGAATATAAATGAGATTGAAGAAGAAAAAAGAAAATATGTTACTAACAATTTTCATATGAAATAGTAATATAGCAAAACATATTTCAATAAAAGAGAGAATATATGTGCGTATTTAAACGTTAAATAAGTCTAAACTTTCAGAATTTTCATTGTCAAAATATCTTCATTTTTTCATATGTCTTTGAAGAGGAACTAGAGATGAAAATTTGATAGAAAAAAAATTGCAGAACCAATTTGAAACATACATAAATCGAATCCATTTTTCATGCTAATTTCAAATATGATATCAAGAATATTAAACTCAGAATTTTACTTAGTAACTGATGTTTTTAGAACCGGAAAAATAGATAAATTTCTAGCACTAAAGTTCTATCGAACAGGAAGAAAAGAAATTTTGTTCAAGCAATACTCAAATGGCAAATGTAACTAATGACGGTTTTGTATTTGGTTTAGTAAAATCAAAATACTATTTTAAATGAATAATTCTATTACAAAAATGTAGCGTGGACAAAAGCCTATCAGAATATGTTTGGATTACTCTCCACATTTATTAGTTTTCTTTCAAATGAATGCTCACAGCGTTAGCTTATATAATCGGCTGCCAAGCGATTTCGTATATGATGAAGACAGACTCGGTGTACATCTATAATGTAATCAAAATACATCGAACATAACCAGAAGCTCATGATCTTTTATTCTATATATGATCCAATCAGACTAGCCCTGAAAATCAAGAATGATCAAAGTATATTCTTAGGCACTCCGGTCCTTTTCTTGATAACATCTTTAATTCACTTACTTGATGTTAAACATTTTTTTCTAGCCAACAACAATATTTGAGTTTCATATTGACTAAATTTTCGTTGAACATCTTTGATTTCTTCTTTTTGAGATTGATCTTCTTTTTGTAGTTGATTTATTTCTAATTGACATTTATTAAGTTGAATTATTTGTTGATTTTGATATTGATATTGTTCATCTAATTGTTGACATTTTGTTGATAAATCATTAATTGTTTGTTCAAGTTGATTTAATCGATGAAGTTCAGTTTGAAATTCATTAGAAGGAATATTTATTATTTGATGATACTGTTCTTTAAGTTGTTCAATTTCTTTTTTTAATTCAATTGGTTGAATATTTTCTTGATTAGATTGTTCTCGAATTTGTTGAATATCTTTTTCGAATGTTGTACAACGACGAGTTTGTTGAGATAATAATTCTAATAATATTGTATATCCTTTTTGTAATTTTTCAGTTCGATTTTCATATATTTGAATTTGTTTTTTTAATTGTTCAATTTCATGTTGTTGTTCATTATAAGATCTTCTATATTGTTCTAATTGTTTTTGACATTGTAAAGCCTCAGTTAAAATAGGTCTTAATAATTGAAAAGTACACTGTTTCATATGATTATAACGTTCTTCATATGGGCCACTCCATGGACATTTTAAATCAGAAGCTTTACATAAAACGATTCTTTTTGGACATTTATTAGAAATATGTTCTTCTAAATGAATTCGACGATTATTTATTTGTTGACATTTTGTACATTTTACAAGAAGAACATCGAGCATATCAAGAAGAATTTTTTCTTCAATGGGAACTAAATTTTCAATAAATGATGATTGTTGATCAAAATGTTTAGAATCATTGATAGATGCTTTTTGAATGATACATTTACGACAAAATCGATCATCATCTCTTGTTATTACTGGATCAATAAAAGGTTTTGAACATATTCGACATTTAAGTAAACGATCAATTGAATCTTCATTCACATACTCAAAATTCAACTCAGATGTCATGTTTAATTCTTTGAATAATAAATAAAATATTCTGAAAATAAACAACAATTCAAATATATTTAAATCTATTTCTTTTTTTTTTATAACAAATGACAATAAATATATGAAGTAAACTCTTTTTCTATTGACAATAGATTATTTGTTCTAGTTAGTCACCTTCGGTTTTTTCCTCTTGACATCATATGATAGTAAGATGCTTCATAAAAAGATAAACTGATATCTTGAGAAAACAAAGAATGTCTTTATCAGATTTGGTCTTATGAAATAATAATGTTCAAGAAAATATTAGAAAACATTAGGAATGAATAGTGTAACAAATGATTCATTTTTACTTGTAAAGGGAGAAAATAGATATGACACATTAAAATGATAGAATGAAATGTAATTATAAAAAAATTTGTTTGAATTAATCTCTAATAATATCTAGAATATCTTTTGTTGAAAACAATTATTTTTGAATTTATGCTTACGAATCATTATTGTTAACAATCGAATAATACATAAAAATATTTAATTATTCTTATGCAATTTATCTAACTGTTTTCAAAATGTTTACTATATATCATATTCATTCATCTATTTCATGAGACAGTTAATCCTACTATGTTATTATTATTATTTTTTTAAGTGGAAAATGATATTTAATATTTATAAATTATACAGAACGGTTATGTAATAGTTTTCTTCTAGATGAATAATAAGAGGGGAAAAAAAACTCTTGATTATAAACGCAATGTTATATTAATTCCTAAACTTTATCAATCAATAGAAATAAACTTTAATACTCGAATGTCGTAGTATTCATCTTAAGATTTTATTTAAATGAAAGAAATAAAAATAAAAAATATTTGAATATTTATAATAATAATAATAATAATAAAAGTTTTAGCAAGTTCCATTCATATCAAAATTTTTCTTATTCATTAATTCATTAGTTTGTATTTCAAAAATGTTGATTCGGTTTTTTAATTGATCATGTTCATTAAATATTTCTTCTAATGCAGATCTTAATGGTTCAAATTTACATTCATTTAAATGTTCTTTAAGACTTTCACGTGTACCAACCCATGAACATTTTATATCAGCAGCTTGACATAAAACAGTTGCTTTTAGACATTCTTTATTTTTATGTTCATCGAGTTGACCTCGAGGAATATTTATTTTTTCACATTCTTTACATTGAACAAGAAGTGAATCAAGCATTTCCAATACAAGTGTTTCAGTAACAGGAGTTAAAGTTTGCATTTTCGATAATTGATATTCATTATCAGCATAATGATCTCGATTTAATATATGAGAAATACATGATCGACAAAATCGTTCTCCATTTTGTGTTGAAACAGGATCAACAAATGGTTTGGAACATAATTTGCATTTTAATAAGTGATGAATGGACGATTCATCCATATATATATATGTATCATTTGACATCATTGGTAATCGAATTTTTTATTTGATAATAGAAATAGTAATGAAGAAAATTATTTTACAAAAAAAACAAAATACTGCGATTTTGTTAGATGAAATTCATTATTTATAAACTTTCGACGTATAATAACAAGCGTTTTCTTCCTTATCTTCGAAAAGATATCTCGAATATTTGTTAGAAGTAGAAGCTTTTGCATAGACGATGATATCATCATATTTGTGGGAGTTTGGAATAAATTGATATGTTGGATCTTTCCACGTAAAAAACAAAAGGAATTTTCAATTCAAAAACTACAGGAGTTATTTCTTGTTTTTATTAAAATTATAAATGTAAAGGAAATGGATTGAAAGTAAGTACCTGAAAAAACCTGCGGACCACACGGACATCCATGATTGTCTGGGTTTCATTTGTAGAATATAACGATAGCTACTTTGATATTTAGGTGTAAAACATCTTGTATAATTAAAAAACAAAGTAACCATGAATGTTCGTAGTTTTTATAGATACCTATTGGAAATGTTTTATTAAATAATTTACCTTAATTAATGGGATAAAGATCAAAAGAAATTCGAATTGTAATATTGGATGTGAATTTCATGAGTTTTAAAGTTAAATTTGTGACAAAAGTTTGATTTCTACTATTTTTGAACGTAAAATATAAATTTTTAGAATACGAGAAGATATTCAATGACATTCATTTGAGTAGAATTATAAAATTGAACATCAATTCAAATCGACTTTTTTTCTTCTTTCTGTTAGGGATATGTTTTTTTCTATCTAATAAAATAGATAATCGATGAATTCTAATTTGTGATGATCTATGATCAATCCTAACTTATTTTACTATTTTTCCTATTGTTCAATGCTTTATTATATAACTCTAATAATTATCCTAATCGATATGTAGAATTAGATCACCTTTCTTTTTGCCACAACAAAAGACAAACCCATAAGGAAGTGAGTGTAATGCGAAAGAAGATAAAATTCACACACCTACACCCTCTTTCATTTTTCGAACAATTAACCACTAATTCAAAATAATCAGTCAGATGAAAAATAAGGTCGATAATAGAAAATGAAACAAAAAACAACAACTCAAATGAAATATAAACATTAGTATTGTAATCAATTGTGTGTTATGTATGCAAGAGTGCTATTTTTTTTTTGTATTCCTTCCAAAAGTGAATGAATAAAATTTTAAATTATGATACTATATAGTACTCTTTGCGGTCTATCATTCGAGAGATGAAATCATTTCAAACAGGCATATATAGAAAGAAATACCTGTAAAACAATGTGTGAAAACAGTTGCATTTCATCCACAAAATAAATTAAATCACTATCTAAGCAATAAACTTTAAATCAACATGATGTTTGATCTTTGGAATGAGACTATTTTTGAGAGGTGCAATATGAAGAATCACTCAAGAAATGTATTTTATAGATTTTCTTCAGCACAACTCTTTAACTATGAATAATCAAGACAGCCATAAGTGTCCTCATCTAAGCATTCGATCATGATATTAAAAGAGCAAAATTATCAGTAAATCATGCACGAGAAAAAAAAGTCATGAAAATTATTCATGTAAATAATGTATAGATATGATTTAATTCCTTATTTAACCTATAATAAACTGTATGAGAATATAATTGAACTATAAAACTTTTACAATACGTAGCAGCTATTTAAAATAATGTGATTGGATCACACAACGTGTTCTAAAATTTTCTTTTTTCTCTCCAGACAAACAACAACATCGATTTAACTTCAAAACAATTTGTACAACAACACAAAAAAAGAAACAAAATGAAAAACAAATACATTTTATGGATACCCGAGGAAAAAATTGTATGAAATCGTTTACTTGTACAATTTAATCAATAATATTCATCGAGAAATTTTAAAAATATGAAAAATAAAAATGTATCATGCCACGAATCAGTTGATCGATTTTTATGCCAATCTGTATAGAAGTTTTAAGTTACAATAAAAAAAAAAAAAAGGTGAACCATTCATCATAATTTTTTGAACCTGTTGTAAATAGAATTTGTTCTTTTTCTTTTTAATTCTTTCTATTTTCAACATAAACGTAATGTAGAATTTTCAGCTAACATAACAATTAAATGTAACGTCTAGGAGAAAGTAAAATATAATTTTTTTTTCTTGAATTTTATGAAAACATTTGAAGATTTCAAAATTGTAATTTACTCTATTGTCGTATTTTTAATTTCTCTAAACATTTTTGTTTCTTCTTAACAAACATTAAAACATGTGAAATTTCCAACTTTCTGCATTTTATTTCTATGACTTGTGTGTAAATAAAATCTACACTGTAGAAAAAAAGGGTTTCGCGAATTGTAATAAAGTTCTCAAATATTTGCTTTCAGTAAATGTGAAGTTCATTATATAGATGTTGAAAACTTCATAAAAATAACTTCGAGAATTTGATTGTTAGTTAAACAGTATTGGTTTTTTAATATAACTTTAATAAAATAGTTTTATCAAATGAAGATTAGTTTTTACTTGAATGTTTGTCATGAACGAACGTTCTCAAAAATGAAAAATATAAAAATAAACGACTCTTTTTTTTCTTTTTGTAAATTTTAAATAGATTTTCTTTATTTCGGATCCAATTTCTCAATGGATTTGACTATTTATTGACATTGTCTACGTTTCGTAGATTTTTCTTGACAACTAACATTTACAATAGACGTAATGAACCAATACTAACTGATGAGACTCATTCAATTCGTCAACACCTGATGAGCTTAAAGACGATAATGATATGGAGATGAATCAGGATATTCGAAAGTAAAATCATTATCATTGTCTTCTTCTTCACATTCCAATTGAAGATATGCTGATGTACGTAATAATATATTTTCACATTCATTGATGATTGAAATAATTTTAACACTTGAATTATCATTAGAACTATCACAATTATTAAAATTTGAATCTTCAAAGTTACAAAGAATTGAAAAATGTTGTTACTCCATATCTTATATATTCAGAAAATGTATAATACTGTTGATACAAAAGAGGTTTAATATTAATCGTTCTCTCCTCCGAAAATTTATAGTTCTTTCTTTTTCTCGTATTAATTCAAGCTGAAAATAGATTTTTTTGTTTTTTTTCGAAGAAAATCTGTTCCTATTGTACATAGATAAGTTATTATTTTCTTTTCTATTCTTCCGCAACTTTAATTCCATAGTAGAAACAAAAAATATTTTTTACAAACAAAAGCAGAATGACTATGAAGAATTTCTTGTGAATATTTCATTAAATTTTCTTTATTTCGAATCAAAAACAAAATAATTCATTTTTCAGATATTTTTATTTCAATATTTCATTCATGCAGATATCAGAAATATTTCGTCTTTGGAATGACTATCAAGTTATTGAGACTATCGTACGAAGACTAAATCAAATAAAATTTCTCTAAATTTAGAGAGTAAGTTATTCTTTCAAAATGATATATTTTATTTTATAAATCTAATGTTTATAGAAAATATACAAAGATTGCGTGACCAATTGTTTTCATTATCAATTTTATCTATTTCACTTATGATACTTTTATTTTTCTATTCATTTGATAATTATTTCAAAACATTAGTATTTATTGATTTTCATAAACAAGATATAATAAAAACAAATTTGAAATTATCTTTCATATCAGTTATCCTTTTCGAAGAGATCTAATACCAATAATTCAAGCTAATCGACGTCAAATTAAATTTGTTAATGTTGATCATATATTCTATAAGCTTCAAAGATTTTGACTACCTGCAGAAATTTCTCTCATTTACAAACAAAAAATGTCTCTTAAAAGATTCTATTATATTTTCAAAAAATAAACATTTATCTTGATCAATTTTTTAGAAAAGAACAATTTCTTCAAATATCAGACCTAATATAATATTGAAGAATAGCACAATAATGAGCTACAAACAAATATATTTGTGGTAGCTGAATATATAATTAAAACTCAGATAAATAAAGCAACAATATTTCATATAATAAAATTTAGTTGCTTTGCAATCTTTCTGAGAAAAGTTTGATAAAAATTGTTCTTTTACTCTTATCATTGAACGGTGAAAAATAAAAGTAATCAACAATATTGTTACTTAAATGATTGCTCAATCTGTATGTCACTATCTTTTGAAGCATGTCAACTGTTGTGTGTTCATGGATTAGAAATAAACAGTTACATTTGATATTTCTTTTCTCTTTACATGCCATATATTTAAATAAAATATAAAGAAAAAGAAAGGAAAAATAAAATGGTCGTAATGTGGTTAGAAAAAAATGGCTGTCAAAATCATTGGGCAGTGATCAATGTTAGATGATACGCTTAAAGTCTGGCGGTTTTGAAAAAATAGAACCGACAGCCGAGCTAGAATCAGAATTTTTCAGTTTCTTTTACTCGAAATCAAAAATGAAGTCGTTTAATACAAACAGATAGAGTCGAAGCTGGAATGAATGGAACAGAAAATTTCGAATTTTCTTCATTGTATTTCATTGACTTATATGTAAATTAGCCTACACTGAAAAAAAGAATTTCGCGAATTGAAACAAAGTTGAAATCCTTTTCAAATTTCGTACCCATATACGAAATCTTTAAAAGAATTTCGAGTTTATTTCAACTCTCGAAACTCTTTTTAAGTTTTGTAGAGCACACAAAACGTTTTTCAAGTTCTGTATCATACCACTTTTTTTCATTGTAGTATTACTATGATTATAGTGATAGGTCTCCTTCGTTCATTTACTTTTACATTGATATAAAATTTTTGTATCTTTTACTACTTATAAATTTTCCGATTTATTTTAATATACTTAACAAAGGGTCTCTCTAGGGATGTCTTTCTGGATATAAACTTTGAACATGTCTCTATCATTGACAAAAAAATCAGCTCGTTTATTCGAGCCGTAAGGGAGATATTCAAATTTTTTTTTTAGATACGTTATTCCTGGGGCACCCTGTAGATTATATTAATGAATATTATCGAAAGATAAATAAAAAGGAAAAAGTAAGGTATATCGTGAAATGTTTCAATTATTTATGTTTTTTTATCGATATTTATGGTGATATGTGTCTATATTCTTGTTTTTGTTTGGAGTATCCTTCTTCTTATTCTTTTTTTATTGTGTTGATTTTGATTTGGCTTATGTTGAAAAAGATAATTGTATACTTACGTTTCCCTTAAAATGGATTTCTAAAAACATAGAAATAACTACTTTTTGTTTCCTTCCTAATCAACTTTGCGATTAATATTTTCTTGTAATGAGAAGCAGGCACGATAAAAATTGCAGCAAATCAACTGAGCTATGCGTATGATATAATATTGAATTTGTCAAATATATGTTATATTAAGAATTAATTCAATAAGTGAGTTTCAAAAAATAACAAATCTGATGTAACAATAGCTGGAAATATAGACGGTGTATGTAATAAATCGCTAACTTTGACATTGATTTGAAGTTTTGTCTAGTAATTTGGCTAATGAATGAAATTTACCAAATGATATAGTACGTGATTCGAATTTGAGTACATTATATAAATCATCGTGTAATGTTTTATTTCATTAATGTAGCATCAAATAAAAGGTAATGAGCAAGAATAAATAAGAAACAATCCGTATGTTCAAATGCTCTTTAATCTGATCAAATGATTGAAAGTCTTATTATTGTATATGACGACACAAATAATACTGTTTCTTAGCTGTGAGTTTGTAAATTGTCTATTATTTATGAAAAAAACAACGATTTCTTCGATAGATAAAGTCACAAAGAGAAAATCATGACAGTTAGTCAGCTGCACAATCTTTTTGTTGATAAAGAATCATATTGAGCTGACACTTTGTGCAAATATTCGGATATCTAGTTACACATAAAATGAAGCTTCAGTATTATATCTCGTTTTTAGTCGGACTAGGACAATTTTAGTATATTTATAATACTCATTTTTTGTTTCGATCGCATCTCTAATGCTATTCAACCAACTCGACTGAAAAATATTATTCTTTTTTTAACAGAAAACATTGAAGTCTAGTAAATTTTTCTTAGGTCTTCTTCTTTCTCTGGTCTTGACACATACATTAAGTCAACAAAAAAAAAAAAAAACTCAATAAAGTTGAGTATGAAAAATGTCATATTTTGATAAAGTTTTGTTCAAAGGAAAATGTTTGAAGATAATTTTTTGTAAAAATGAACTTCTCTTTTATTGTGATAGAATATTACTGGAGACACATCATCGAACAACTGCTATAAGAAAAACCGACTTGGAATATCTAATCATAATTTCTCTAAAGGAAGTGCTTTTTTTTTAGGAGCTTTAATCAAACTTCTAGCTATTTTTAACTTCTCTTTCCATTCAATTGTGCGAAATACGTATAGTTTATTGCTGATACAATCATAGGATTGATTTCTCCAAGTTTAGATAGTGCAACGCTGGAACAGCTTCTCCTTTATTATTAAAAGATTTTCAATTCCACATGTTTCGGTTTTGGCTTCGTTCTTTTCTATTACATAATTCCGGTTGCAGTTCTGGATAAAAGAAACTGAAAAATTACGATTCCAGCTTGGTTCTCTGTTCCTTTGTTTTTTTTTCGAAATCCGCTGAAGTCTAAATATATGGTAGTATATCGTCTTCATTCCAACGACAAATACGTATTCTTTTTGATTCTATAAGAAATGTATACATTACTGAACGAGACAATCATAGAATATAAATTTTTATTTGTAGAATAATTAATTGGTTTAATAATTGTTGGTATTAGAGATATTGTTAATGATAATTCAATGTTATTGAATATTTATATTTTTCAGATATAAGTAGTTGTTTAATAGAAAACTTGATACGATTTTAAATAAATATTATTAGATTGTTCTTTTGTGTACCTTTAATTTTGCTTTCGGTTTTGTCATTCTCTTTATTTTTCTTTTCCTTCATAACTTTTAGATGTTTGATTCTTCTATCCTCTATATACTTTTTTTTTTCTTATCATGTGGAGTCTATTTGAAGTCGAACATAAACGACATAGTCTTTGCAAGCGAGAAAAAAAATAGAAGAAAAAAAGAATGTGTTTGTAATTCATTTGTGTATGTGTTTAACATCGACAATCTTTGTCCTTGAAGTGTCTTTTCGATTCATCACAGTAAATGAAATATATTTCAAACATTTTTACGCATTCTTGTAATTTTAGAATCATTTTCAAACGTGAAAATATGTTCTTGATTATAGGCTTATTATTAATTCTGTATATAACTTATCGATTATATCAATATTTATATCCATCACCAAATATTGATCCACATGGTAAATATGTACTTATTAGTGGATGTGATACAGGTTTTGGTCATACATTAGCTATTGAACTTGATAAAAAAGGTTTCAATGTTTTTGCTAGTGTTTATAAAGAAGAAAATCAAGTTTCATTGAAAAATAAACTTTCATCACGTGCTATTGTCTTCCGTCTTGATATTACTCAATCAAAACAAATTGATGCTGCATATAAAATAGTTAAAGAAAAAACTAATATATTACATGCACTTGTTAATAATGCTGGAATTGATCAAGATGGTTTAATTGATTGGATTACACTTGATTTTATGAGAAATATGATGGAAATAAATTTTTTTGGACATGTTGCTATGACAAAAACATTTTTACCATTACTTATATCTAAAAGAGGTTCACGTGTAATTAATTTATGTTCAGTAGCTGGTTATTTAGTTGCACCAAGTATGTCATCTTATTGTGCTACTAAATATGCTTTCGAATCATTTTCTGATTGTTTACGTCGTGAAATGCGTCCATGGGGATTACATGTCAGCATTGTTGAACCAAGTTATATGCGTACACCTATTATCGAAGGACATATACAAACAATGCGTAAAATGTGGGATGCATTATCAAATGATGTTAAAGATCGATGGGGTAAAGAATATTTTAATAATTTAATTAACAAACGAACAAATAATATATTCATTCATTTTGCTGAAAATCCTGTTAAAGTAGTACAAGCAATTCAACATGCTGTTATTAATACCAAACCATGTATTCGTTATCGACCAGGATGGCAATCAAGTTTACTATTTTTCCCACTCTCTATGATTCCTACTTGGATAACTGATCTACTCATGGACACAATACGTGGTCAAAATGTAATACCTGCTGGTGTACATAAACAACTTTAGTAATAAATAGATATAATCTAAGAGAAAAAAAAAGATAAAATATATTCTAAAATAAATTTGTTTCTTGAAAAAGAATCATAATTTTAGATACGAAAATAAATAATTCGCAAGGACTTTTGTTTATTGTTAGTTTTGCTTCCATAATATATATATATATATATTGGTTTTCGTATAAGAAATTGTACCGTGAAGTATTGCACGACTTTTCTTTTTCTTGATAAATATTTTTGTTATCATATTTACTATCACTTTCTCGGAAGCCCACTTTCACATTCCTATTAGAACTATAACTTACCCATCATTTTATGTGAAACAAATTGATTTATGTGATATGATGAAAGGAGGTATAATTGTTAATAGGAACATATCATTTTGTACTAAATTCTTTGATAAATCACTCTAAGAAAAAGTTTTAGATGGCGTGATAGAATTGGTAGAAATATCGACAAATTACTCAGACATTTATTTTCTTATGAGGGAACATTTTCGGATGCCTCGCTTCAATTTCATTCGTTTATAAATCATTCGATAAGGAACTGCGAATGGGTAAAAAGCCAACAAGGATTGCGGCCGACGGCTTTTTCTTCGGAAGTTACGACCACTTTCCTGATTTTCCCAGTGAAAACTAATATAAAAAGAAAAATTCACAACTCCATCGAGGAAATTCATAGAGAGCTGAAATTTGTTTTAATAGTAATTTTAAGGGTTCTCTATATACTCTGAAAGTTGCACAATTCCATCATTCTCTTTTCCCGAGTTATAAGAACATTTCTATAACTCGGGAAAAGAGAATGATAGAATTGTGAAACTTTCAGAGTATATAGAGGATCCTTAAGACTACCATCAAAACAAATTTCGACACTCTATGAGTTTTCTTGAAGGAGTTATGAATTTTTCTTTTTATGTTAGTTTTCGCAGGATAAATCAGAAAACTGGTCGTAACTTCCGAAGAAAAAGCTGTCAACTGGAAACCTTTTAGACTTTTTACCTACTTGAGTTCTTCTATCGAATGATATATAAACGAATGAAATCGGAGCGAGACGCCTAGGAATGTTCCCTCGTTAGAGATATAATTTGTTAGTTAGATAGTACGATACTAGATAACTCTTTCTTTTTTATTATACATAACATTCTTTATTTTAAAACCTAAACATTCGTCTTTGATACATAATGCAATATTAAAATATTCATTCATTGCAAGAAGATTTGAAAGTTCATTGAAATTATCTCATTACGTTTTAGTACCATTATTTTTTAATATAATATCATTTTCGAGATTTTGTTCATGGGATACTGCTCTTCTTTCACTACCGCATATAAGTGCTATTTGAGTTTGATTTGGATTTTGTATCCATACCAATTGAATAGAGCACTTGAGTTGATAAGATCTTTTGACATAGTGTTAACTGTAATAATCGAATCAAAAGTGTGGAATTCCATAGGACAATTATAACATGTAACTTAATAGAACAATTGAAATACTATATGTATATGATGTTGTTTGCTTAATATATCAAGTATTTAGTTTGAAGGTATATAAGTTTCAAAAGATAAAAATATTCTACTGCGCACATGTTTATAATGTTCTTTTTCGATTCTTTACTGAGATTTTCTGTGCAAAAGAATTTTAAATTTTTTTGTTATTTATTTGAAGAGAAAAAATAAAGATTTATCAAGTGTGCTAAATATATCATCATTTCCATTCTAGTTTCTTTTTTTACACTGAAGCGATCACGAGATTGTAGATACTATGGTTTTTTTTTGACAATAGTTTCTATAGGAAGTAATCAGTCGCTGTGCTACTTTGGGTGTACACATAATTCACTTGCTATATCAATTGTAATAAAGCATGTATTGAATAGCACCTATTTTCCATTTGAAATTTCTCTTTTTTATTAGATTCATTAGAAAGCTTCTTATAACCATCAATTAAAATACAACAAATAGAAAAAATTCATGCTTTAAAAAGAATACTGTATCTTATAATTGAATTATATATCATTAATGACCAAACTTTTATAAATTCTATCTAAAAAAAATATTGCATCACATTTTATATGATCTATCTATTAGAGAATTATATAAACTTATCAAAAACAAAGTTTGATAAATGTTTTCAAAAAAAATTAATTAAGAAATTTGATGAGAAAAACAATAAAAAACAACAAAATTTTTTTAATAGATGACAAAATATTTGAATTATTAGTATTATCTAAAAATTTGATAAAATCAAAATTTGATATACTCTTTTGACGAATAAGATAACCATTATTTTCTATATTACAATTTCTTGATTTACATTCAAGTATCCAATGATCAATACGTGTTCGATCAGTCATATTGAAATCTACTTCATGTGATAAGGCTGTTTCACCGATATCATCTTGCAAACAGGTTGCACAGATTTCTGTTGCATTACCACGACTTATTCCTTGAAAAAAACATCCTTTACAAGATTTTGATGGTATTGAAACTGCACATTCTAATGAAGTTGTATTTCCTTTAAACCAACACCAATTACCATCAAATGGTTCTTCTCGTTTTAGAAGATATTCAAGTTCATGAAAATAATCATTCAATGTTAACGAATTTAATAAACGTTTTAATACAATGAAACTATTACAGTTATGAGTAGAACATGTGTATGATATCGATCTAGTCCATATGAAATTAGAATTTTTATTTTCCAAATTAACAACAGTATAAAGATTGTGTTCATTGTATATCGATTGTTCATTATCTCTAGCACTCAATGTTATTTCAGTTTTGTCTGGTTTTCGATGCCATATAACATCAATAAAACAATTATCTTCAGTCGTTTGTAATGTACAATTATTAAGTCTATCTGGTAAACGATCGGTTGTAATGAAATAATCAAAACTATTGGCATCAATTGGACAGACAGAGCAAGTTATATCACATGAAACTGAACGTATAAGTTCAAACATTACGAATAAATAGAATAGCATGTTTTTATTAAGATTGATGAGTATAGGCAAGCATATATATGATATCAGATAGCAACATTCAAGATATATATATAATATAAAAAAAGATAAGCAAGTCTTTAACACAAATGTTTAATTTTTTTTTATTTCTTTTTCTTTTTTTCGTTATCATTCGTAAAAAATATTTTGTTTTCATTATCGTTCTCTTTTGTTTTTGTCATAATTTAATTAGAAAATCAATAGGCTTTAATAGTATGAAAATGATTTAGTGGACTATAATTCTTGATTATTCCAAAACTTTTTGCAAGGACTGTAATTCTCTTCTTGTTTGGTTAATCACTCCAGCTAATGTACCAGAGGTCTCAATAGATCAAGCTGGATCGAAGAAATTTAGTCCATGAGTTATCCACCCAGCCAAGCCCATGGATTTTTTATTTAAAAAATGGTCCATCCATAATTCACCAGTATTTTCTGATTTTTTAGTTGGAAAACCAAAAACTTTCCACCACAAAGATGTGTTTCTGTTTTCATTTTTAATAACAACATATGTTGTTGATTGTTGTTTCAAAAGAAATTTGATTCTTTCGGATGTATACTGTCTTGTATGTGATGATGAACCAGTATGAGTGGTTGAAGAAATAGTCTTAAGAAAAATTGATGATTGAGAAGGTTCAGTAGGAATAGAATTAGAATGAGAAAAAGTAATTGATGATAAATGAGAAGAGCTAAACAAGAATATTTTGTTGAATATATAGAAATTTTTTTAAGGTGATGACAATTTTAGCTAATGAAAGAGTTATATAGAATTTTCGGAAAAAAATTTAGTGAAAATACACAACATATTTTGAAAAATTTATATTTTATTCAAGATTCTACTTGTGGACGCCCATCACAATATCGAATCAGCTCAGTCCAGCCCATAATTTTCTATCCAAAAAGTTTCGGTTCATAGACTGGACTCGGTTCAACTCATTGAGACCTTTGTAATATCCATCATGTACAAGAATTAATTAGCATTGTAGCAATAAATGGTTCAAAAATAACTTTTGAACCACCGATAACACCATTGGTCTTGGAGTGATTTAATAATTGGATAGAAAAGATTTGCAAGTTGATAAAGACTATCATTCATTGTTAATGAATTTAATAAACGTTTCAATTGACTTAAACTATTGCATTGATTTGTGATACATACGTATCAAATAAGTTTTTTTTTTCAAATTGATATTGATTCTTGATTTTTAAAACTAATATCGACTTGAAGTTTGTGATCAATTAATGCTGGTTTTGTATTATCCAGATCTCGTTACTATAGTATTTCGATAATACAACTCGCTGAATTAGCTTGTAATGAACAATTTTGAATAATTTTATTCTTGTAGTAAATGTGATTGTCGTTTTGAATGAAAAGACAAGAATAATGATAAATTTTATTTTCTTTTATTCGAAAGAGACAACACTTGTGTCTATCATCTTGCAACATATTTATTGAAGGGCAAGAAAACATTTATTCTTTCATCTTTATCAGTATGAGTTTTACTATTATGTCATCAACAATTAACAAATCATCTATTTGCACGTGTTTGATCAGTTCAAGTAAATAGAACTTATCATTTCAAATATTCTACATGCAAAAAAACATCAGTAAAACAATTTGTACACACAATATTTGATGTAATTTCACTCGAAAGTAGTAAGTGAAATATAACTTTGTTCAATTGGATTTGCATGAAGTAAAAACAAATGGTATTCCATTTAAGAAGATCAATTCGTTCGCTCAGTTGATCCGTCAATATTAATGATAATAATATACGTTTATTTTATTACATTTATTACATATGATATCTTCTACGGATATTCCTGGAAACTCAATTAAGTACCAGTACAGAAGATAAAACAGAGGATGCATGGTCTAATGAAATCTGAATGAATCAAGCTGAGAATTTAATCATACATAGTCCCCTCTTCTGTATTTCAATCTCCTCTGAAAATATTATCGATCAATTTTGTAATGGCATAGAGTATTATACAAATCATTAGTTGGTCCTAAATAACATCCCCATACACTCAGTATATAAGCTAATGGGATCAATTTTTGGCTGAATAAATACCATCGAATAGAGATGTCGAAAGTTCCATGGGAGGATAATTTCTTAACTGATGATGAAGTTCGTAAAACCCACCCATACTTTGTAAGCAATAGACTTCATCACCAATAGAGTTGGTAATGGACTAATTACTTTTAAAGAAGACATTTTTATACAAGACCGATCATTTTCTTTCGTCATCAAATCACAATCCAATCGAGAGAAAAATAGTCGATCATAACGATAAAAATTAGCCGAAGATAGTTAAGCTATGCTTATATTTGAGTACGAAATTCATGACTTCGTCAACTGATTTTATAGTATTATTGATCGTTATTACCAAACAAAAAAGAACATCGTTCAACGTCAGAATTTAAAACTGATTCCATTGTTTTACTAGACAATGCATTTGATATTAAATAAAGCAATATTTAAAACTGTATAGGATTGAAAAGACTTTTTGCTTCTTTCTGTCAATATGCCGAGTTCGTATTTCGATCTTGAAAATGTCAATGTCATCGTAAGGTAGAGTTGTAACTGATTCGATTGAAATGATTGGACCGACCAGTCTAATTGAAGTGCATTTAATTTTCCAGAAGGTACAATCAAAACTGTTTTACTTGAGCTAAACTTATTATAACATATGTTTTGATAAAGATGAAATTTAGATTTGAATCGTCGTTTGTAGAGAAATATTAAGCTTGTTTGAAAAGTTTGAATGAGAAATTTCAAGATTTGAAATTTAGCAATCAATTGATGGGTAAATGACTCGATTCTTTTGTTACGCTATATACAGAAATATCACATATTCATCGTTTAGAAATCTAACAGATATAAATGACTATAACATGGTTTTTCTCCCTGGAGATTTGTAAAAACCTGAGTGCGAAAAAAAAAATTAATCTTTTTTTTTACCGGTTTTCACAGATCTAAAAGATTTTTTGAATCGGCCGGACCGAACCAGTTCAAAAATTCTCAGCTGGTTACAACACTACAGGTATTATTAGTCTACTGTTGCTATACAATGATTACTAGTGTTCTATGAAATTATACTTGTCTTGAAGATTATAATATCAATACACTACTATTAAAGTCGTGCAGGTTACAGATTGCAAAACTGTCGTACCCTGTAATCCTCTAACTATCGTATAACAACCATTAAGTTAAAACTGTAATCTAATATAATCTTCAATTTTCAAATATTTATCATTCAACATTAACATTCCGTTTTTGATCAGTAATTTTTTCCATTGAATAATTCATATTACTCATTGAATCATTAAATGACGATTTTAGTAACAGTATTTGTTTGATTAAATATTTTATTTTTTAGTCTCTGAAAATTTTGTATTATTATCAATTATTGACAAACACATTTATCGATTTATTATAATCTTATTGCTCGCTTTGAAAATTTTTCTAGTTATATTGTTTATAAAATATTAGTTAAATTCGTTTAAAATCGAAATTTATTTCTTGAAAAAAATATTATTATTATTTCAAACAAACATTAAATTATGAATGAGTTTTCGAGTATTCAAATCAATAAAACGTTGACTTTGGACTATAAAAAATATAGATCAATTCATTGAGAACAATGTCATTTTTTTTTGTTCATGAATGATCAAAGAATGAAGAGAAATAATAATTATTCATACTGTGACAAAGAAATTATAGCATGTGGTTGTTTTGTGATCGAACTTTATATTATTATTACAGGCATCAAACACAGGAAATTGATATGTCTTTCTTTACAACTAACAGAACTAGGGATGAACTGTAATTCATCATATGAATTCTTTTTAAGGCTAACTGTCATATTATTATAAGCTTGAATAATGTTCGATGTATTCTCGACAGATAATTATAACTAGAAAAAAATATCAATAGCGTTATTTTTTTCTTTAAAATATTGAATAAAATAAATAAAAGACTTGATTAATATGAAAGATGATTGCATACTCTAAATGACAAATGCTTCAGTAGTTTTCTTAACATTCTTTTGCGCATGAATACATTAAGCATCTTTCTCTCTACGAGGTTGTCTTTTTTTTCTTATCTATTACTAATACCTAGCATCAGGCAATCGAAGCAAAATAAAAAGAAAAAAAAAGAACAAGTGTTTCATCTCTTTTTATTGAACTCAGTTAATGCTTTGCATTTTATTTTCATCCTAGTCTCGTGCTTAATCACAACATATATTACTTAGAGAATACCAAATGTACTGATTATTCTAGATAATATTTTATGGAATAAATTCAAAATTTATTGTTCACGAAAATAGTCATTATGATCAATACTCAAGACATTTTTGAAGTACAAGGTTTGTAGGCTTTATAAGATACATTTTTTGATGTGTTACTTTATATTTAAGATTTTTCTTCAGTGTTACTATTGAGCAACATTGAAGTAAACTAGTTCGATATAATAAATTACACAGTTGATGAATTCTATTCTCAATAAATGATTTAATCATACTTTAAATATAAAAAATGGAAAATTAAAAATTTCTTTCAGAAACACAAATCATATTAAAAGACGCAATATCATATGTAGAAAAAAAAGACATAAAATTCCATTAGATCTGCCGTTTTTTTTTCTGCTAGAAAACTTCATCAACGCTGTTAGTATGATAATAATGCAATTATTTTCTAAAAAAAAAAGAAAGGTATGACAAAGCATTTTCACACCTATTTACAGTTCTAACATTAGATGTAATGTAGCATGAAAATTATATAAATACGCCACTTAGTAACTCTGCCAAAAATATATCACATTGAGTAATCGCAAAAAGTGCTATTATCAACGAAAAGCTATTTTAACATGCATATTTTATCTTTAAATTTCTGCTACTAATAGAATTCGATGAACTTCGATTACAACCATCAACTAATCTGCCATAGAAGAGTCTAAATTAATCTATTAGTTTGTAGTTCACAAGAAAGTGTTATTTTTATTATTCATATGTCTAAAAAAAAGCTTTTTATTGATTATATATTGACTGTACATTATAAAACTTGATCGAAAATTTTCTTAGATAATTCATTTGCTTGTTTGATTTAATTAATAGAACTGATTATTGTGTGCAGCGTGCTAAATATTGAATAGTTACTTAACAAAATGTATTTGCAAAGTGGTATTACTCAAAAATCGTATTGAAAAATTTCACAAGTTTTTTGTATGCATGTGACTAATGAAAATAACAATTTTTTACAAATTATAAACTAATGAATTAGTTTAGACTTGCAAAATCTCTATAACAATGTAACCAATAAGTTGTTCAATATTGTTAATGATAAAGATAGTTTCTGAAAATCTTTGTTTGCCATTCAATTATTTTTCACATTATCATTGTCCTTTCTCAAGTAATATATATCTCTCTGTCGGTACTTTTTTGTCGTCAAAGATTGACACAAATCCTTGGCATTGCAACCAATTGGCAAGTCGTATGATAGGCGATCCATGTAAACATTCTATCTTGATGTATTTTCAAACTATGATTTCGAAACTTTACCAAAGACTCATTTACCCATAAGAACTTTAACTGAAAACTATGCATTACTAAACAAAGACATATTAAAATAGCTGAGACATGAAGAACACAGGGTGTCGATAATTTTAGATTTATAACATTGTTTTCTGCTATTCTATGGAGTATTAGTTGGTGATTGAGATCAAAGTTTATCGATTTCTACTAGTAGCAAAAATTAGAAGATAAAATGTGCATGTTGAAATACTTTTTTGTGATCGCTGTACTGTAGAAACAAGGAGATATCCATCTATGTAAAAATCTTTTCTTTTTCTTTCTTTAGAATTTGATGAACATTCATTTACTTTAATGTTTAATATATCCAATAGGGATTTCATTGAAACATTAGAGTATATTTCAAAACAGTTCAATCGTTATTTTTCGATATTTATATTTCTTTTTGGTACAATTGGTAATATACTTAATTGTTTTGTTTTATCTCAATCAACACTTCGTTTAAATCCATGTGCTTATCTTTTTTTAATTTCATCTATTGCAAATATGATTTCTATTATATTTGGTTTAACAACAAGAATTTTAGCTGGTTGGAATATGGATTTAACAGATACATATAGTCTTAGTTGTAAAATTCGTGCTTTTACTGTTTTTGTTTCACGAACAATTGCTTTTTGGCTTATTGCATATGCTACAATTGATCGTTGGTTTTCATCATGTAGTCAATATCAACGAAGACAAATGAGTTCATTAAAAAA